AAGCGGCAAGTCTAAAGTTAAGCACATGATGAACCGCAAGATTCTGAAGACGACTGCCCGAGTTCCTATGCTTCAGCCGGAGGATCAGACTGATCAGCGTTGAGTCCCATGGTGGCCTCAGCCCCAGCAGCAGAAGAGGCGGGCTTTGCACTTTGCCGAGCCTCCCTTTCCCTCTGCTCAGCTTCCAACTCCAGTCTTTCAGCTTCCTCTTCGGCTTCCTCAGCCTTAAGAATTTCAGCTTCAGCTGGAGTTGCATACTTCATGTGAGGGTCTTCGGGATTCTGGACCCACTCAGCACATTTAGACCAGTCCAGCTTCGGCTCAGCATGAAGGCAGAGTCTTCGGCATACTCGGAATCCGTTTCTGAAACCCATCTCATATTCCTCTTGGGTGTAAACACGGACTTTGAGTAAAGCCTCAGCATCAGCCAGCTTCTTCTGGGTCTCCTCCAAGTCCTCCTTGGATTTCTTCAGCTGTTCAGCGACTTTGGAGGAGGACCCCTTCAGCTCATTCAGCTCTTGCTGAATTTGGAAAGCCTTTGTCTGAGCTTGGGCCACTTCAACTTTCTGGATCAGCAGTTGATCCTCAGCCTCTTGGAATTTAGCTCTTTGAGCTTCAGCAGCAGCAGCAGCCTCTGAGAGTTGGACGTCTTTGGCCAAGAGCAACTCTTCAGCAGCCATTCGGCTGGCTTCAAGAGCCTCTAGACGCTGCTGCACTTCAGCTTGTGCAGCAGTTCCTTCTTGAATTCGGCTCTCAATAGCAGCCTTGAATTTGGAGACGTCCACTCCCATATGCTCCTGGAGGAATTTTTCCCCTTCCATCAGTGGGGGAAAAACCTCCATCTCCATAGCATCGCAGAAGGTTTTCAGAGCTTCGGCAGCTTTTTTACCGTACTCCTCAACCTCCTGCTGCTTCTCTTCAGCTGCTGCTTGCTTCAGCTTAGCAAGCTTAACTTCCTCTTCAGCCACCTTCCTTTCGTGCACAGCAGCGTCTACCCTATCTTGTAGGGTATCAATCAGCTCTACAGTGAGAGTCTGATTGTGCACGAACTGAAAACAGGAAGACAAAAAAAATAAGTAATAAGAAAAAAATAGAGCTGAATTTCGGAGGAAATGAAGGAAAATTACCTGCATCATCAGCAGTTGGTTAGACCTGGCTGGGTCAGGAACTGATCTACTGGATTCGCCCATCCCAGCAGTGGCCTTCAGCGACCAGATCCTTGCCCTGTCTACTTCGGACATGCCAGCAAAATTGCCGAAGTAGGCTGCAGCTCCTTCTCGGTTTTGACCCCATATGAGGTCCCAGATGTGATCTGGGATTGGAATTCGGGGGGCCGAGAAACCCATTTCTCCAGAATGCAGAGTCTGGAAAGAAGGGAAGGACGACGATGGAGCTTGATTAGCTTTGGTTGTCTCAGCATCGTCCTTCTCAGAGGAGTCAAGTACTATGACCTCTTCTTCAGGGGTGAGGACGAAAGCCTCAACCTCTCTTGCGATATCTGCCGTGAAGCCTTCAGCACTTGACATCACGGCATCTTTATTTCCGTGCTCAGCAGCACTCTCCTTGATTTCTTCTTGGACCCCTCCCTTAGGTTCGGGAGTCCTCTGATCCACCTCCATCTCAGGAGGTGGCGGAGGGGTCTTTTGAGGAGATTGGGGTGTTGGCTGGGGAACCCTCGGCGATCCATTGCCTTCCTCAGGTTCCCTTATTGCGACGCCGATGGTCATCGGCCTCTGCTGAAAGTCATGAGGGCCGATGATGGCCATCCTTCGGCGCCTTTTCAGAAGGGGCTGCTCGTCCATATCTGAGTCTGAAGACTCTTGTATTTGATCTTCGGGACGAACAGGAGCTTTGCCTTCTCTGTGTCTGTTACTCTCTTCAGACTGTAACAGACAGGGGGGAAGAAGAGTGTGAGTAAAAAAAAAAAAAAGAAGAAAGACAAAGTTAAGTCTAAAGGCTCACCGAGGTCTTCAGCAAAGCCTCGTCTTCTTCAGCTGCCCTAGCCGCAGCTTCTTCAGCAACTCTGGAGGACCCTTCTCCACCTTCACAAGCTTCAATAACCCGTGCAACCTCTTCGGCTGTACGGGCAGCTTCAGCTTCTTCTTCCAGCAGCTGAAACAAGGGATCTCTCTTCTTCCACCAAGGCTTCTGCCTCTGATACAGAGCAACAGCCTCAATTTGGAAGTGGGAAGAGTCTAGGTGAACCTCTCGGCGCCTTGGTTCAGTGATAGGGGGAGCCCGATCAGTTACGACTCGTTCTCGGTTGACGCCAAGGCGAGCGTAATCAATGCCGACGTTGGTCTCGTCCCGTTCTGAAAAAGAAAAGGGGAGAAGTCAATTCAGTTAGTTCGGCACATCACAAGAAAGCAAAATGAAAGAAGAAAAGAGATAATTAAAAGGCCTCGGCCCCAGCCGAAGAAGATTACCATCCCTAAACTTTCGGCTGAGGCCGACAGCTGCCAGCATATTCTCTTGGAAAACGTAGTGCGTATCGGGGAGCCAAGTCTCCGGGATATGCTGCATTCGGCCGCTGCCTCCCCGGTTCGGCAGCTTGCCGAAGATGTTCTGCTGATTAAGGTTCGGGTCTGGCCCGCTATCTTCGGGAGGACCTAAACTTCCCATATCAGGATCCGGCTCGGCAAGATACCGGGGAGCGCTGAAAACGTAAGGGTGGCTCGGCTCCGTGGGTGCCCTAACCCAAATCCATTGACCTCTCCAGTCCTTGTCTGAAGAGTCGTTCGGCCACATGGTTAGGAACGGGGGCCGAGACTCAATCCGATACCACCCAGAGCCATGGCATCCGTGCCCACTTTGAATGTTTGGCACTAGCCGATGGAGCCTTTTGAAGCAATGCAGGTTCGGCACGTACCTGAAGAATTTGCAGACCCATAAGTACGTCACTACCCTTCGGATGCTGGTGGGGGTCAGCTGGCACAGGGAAATGTTGTAATGGATCAGCAAGTCTCGGACGAAAACGTCCAAAGGGAACCTCAGCCCATACTGAAGCTGTCTCGTGTACACCCCCACATACCCCGGGGGTGGACGATGGATTCTATCGGATGCTGAGGGCATTCGGCACCAATATCCATCAGCTTCAAAAATGCCGTAGTGCAACTCAATTTGCTCGGCAAATCGATATTGATCGGCGTTCTCTACCCACCATGAGTAGGGGCGGTTCTTTATCATGGCCGAAGCGACTTCGGCATTCTCCCACTCTGAAAACCCAGGGAGGATATCCCAAAGGACAGCGGGAATTTCATCGTCCCGTCCAGAAGCACTCGGCTCATCCGTTCTTTGAGGAGGAGCCGAGGAAAGGGGAGTCGCCCTAATCCCATCAGCAGGGTCAGACTCCGGCCTTCGACCATTCCAGGTCCCAATCCTATTCCTAGGATCGGGAATCGGCCTTGCTCTTCTTGGAGCACGGGCTTTACCTCTAACTCCTCTTGCCATGGACTATTTCGAAGGAAAAAGTCGAAAAAGGGGAAAGAGTGCAAAGTCGAAGAAAAATGAAATAAAATCAAAGGAATTTACCTTGATCTGAAGCAAAAGTCGCCGATTTACGAATTGGTAGTGACAAGTCTCAGCTTCTAAGCTTAATGCTCGGGGAATTTGCGAAGTTTTGATGCGGGCTCTTGAGCGTTCTTGAGAATTCTGGGTTTGTGTTGATGAATGAGTGGGGAGAGAAGACGCGCCTCTATTTATATCTCCAGAAATGGAAATTCAAGGAGTCTGCGTTTCAATTTCTCTCAAGCACCCCACTAAGTAACCGTTAAACACACGACCTTGCAGTTAAATCGCCCACTACCCGTCCAACTTCCGCAATTATCCACATTAACTGTTGTTATCTCATTAATCATGGGTTAATTACGGTTTAAATTCACATTTTTGGATTAACAAATCATTCACTTCCCTCCTTTTCTGATTAAATCAAACCCGACCCGTCATCCTTCCAAATCGGGTCTGGGGGGCAAGTTGTTTGGGTCCAATTTAGTCCAATTGGGCCTGGTCACTGAATGATCCAATTAAAAGCCCAAGGTTAAGGTTCAACTCTCCAAATGTGCTAAAGTCAAAAATCAACATCCTCAAAGCCATGTCAAGGTCAGTCAACGGCCCAATCAGCTTGGCCCAGCCCAACTGACTTCCGGGCCCAATCCGCCTCCTTCATTAGCCAAGGTATAAAAGCCAACAATTTGGTCAATTCTTGGTAAGACAATAAAGCCTCAAGCAACTAAACTCTTGCACAGCTTTCTCTCTCTAATATACTGACTTAAGCATCGGAGGGGCCTTCCTCGGCGTCCCCCCCGAGGCTAGTTTACGTGTATTTGTTGTGCAGGAAACCCTCGGCTCCTGCGTCGTTCGGACCGAGACCAAGTTCCCTCAAGATAAAAGGATCTTCCGAGATTCGATTGTTTTCATCCGAAACAACTTTTACTTTGTATTTCTCATGTAAGAACCATTAGAACACGGACAATAAGAGAGGAGTTTTTGAACTTACGCAGTAATAACCATTAGAACATGGACAATAGTTAAGAAAAGTGAAATAGAAATACACTCATTTTAATGGAAAAATGTACATGTTTTTGTCAATAAATGTGATTTTATTAACTAATTAGTCTTCGATATTAATTTAAAAGGCAAAACCTAACGAACACCCCGGAGGCGTTAGATAAGCTAGTTAAAAGTCTAAAGATTATTAAATTAAAATAAACATTAATTATACCGATTGACACGTAATGTTGTCATGCTTTCCCAAATTAATACAGCTTTAGAACAACTAATTTTAAAATATATAGTTCAAAGTAACAATAATTTAAATTTTGATAGTTTAATGATGTAACCCTAATGTGTTGGTATACTTTACCATGTAATTTCTTTTGCTTAAATACCTATCTTCACATTAGAACACCTAATAATCAATCTGGGAAAAATACGACTAATCCTTAGTTATTGTCCCTCGTGTGCATCCAACCATTGTTTTGAGAACAGGAGAGGACCCGACCCCGGCCCCAAAAAAACAAGGCCTTGACTAGGCACTAGGTTCCTATATGGCTAAACATCAATTAAAATCCCTTATCACATCCATAAGCTAATTAAATTGTACGACTCCATCCCACTTTGTAAGATCCTTTCCCAACCGACCAGAGTCTTATGTATGGACTATAGTCTGTTACAGCTTATTTTACTTCTTTTTTTTTCTTCTCTTTTTTCATTACATTATCTTTCTCTCTCCTCCTCTTTTTTCCCTTTCTTTCTCTATCTTAGATTGATCAAATAAATTTCAAGTAATAGCACAAAATAGTGAATTTTCTTGTCTATTATATACTTGAAATTTTAATAACTTTTCAAAAAAAAAAGTAAAAAAATCAGAGATAATCGATGGAGTTCAGTACATCAGCAGAGCGAGTCTGCTATGTCCACTGCACCTTCTGCAACACCATTTTAGCGGTACTCTTTTCTCTCTCTCCTCTTTTTTTTATTTATTTCTTTATTTAAGAAAGAAAAAATCTCCCACATATTCTGTATCTTTGAGTTTATTAGATCAGATTTTATTAATTTTTTTTTTCTATTTCTGATCAAGTTTTAGGTTTTGCTAAGCAAATTAAAAGTTTGTACTAATAAATATATTTTTTCCGTAGATAACAAAAAGAAATGGAGGGTGTATAAGCTACCTTTAACTTTCTGAAAAAAAAATTATGAGTTGTTAATTAAGCAGCCTATGTATGTATAAAAGTAGGGTTGCAAACCTTAATTAATAAAGTATATATAAATTAGGGTTCATCATCAATGAAACAGGTAGCTAGTCTAGCTAATTATTAGTATAATTTAATTTGTTTAGTGTATGTTTAATCCAATAAAATTTCATATGTACTTCAACATTATTATGATATTACCTTACAAACTTATACTTTTTTTTTTTTTGAATGATGACCACATCTCACTGATCTCAGTCACTTATGATTCTTCATCTGTACCAAAGTGTTGCATTGGTACAGTCTCTCTTTTTTCCTTGGCATGTAAAAAATTGAGTTTTTTTTTTTTATTTATTTTTAGAAAATAAAAATAAAAATCCCTCCTTTGCTTAAGTTAATAACAAAAAACTTTATTTAATGATTTATTACTTTGTACTAAGAGTATAATACAACATTAGTTTTTCTTTCTTGGTATACAAAAATTATTACTTCGTAAATGAATGATACTCCCTATTTCATATGATCTGGATCGATTTATAACTTAAAATGAGTGAGATCGTTTTTACTTTAACTTTTTTTTTTTTTTTTTTTTTCTCTCTTGACTTTTATGTTGGGGAGAAAAAGGGGATGTCAGGGTTTGTGAACCCAAGCCAGAAACTGCAGCAAAAATGGAAAGAGATTTCTCATTTAGGGTTGCCTTTTTCATGTTGTGTACCACACTTCATGTAACTTTATACTCTACCAAGTATATTCTTTTGATCGCGTTGTTATTCGTTAACTACTCGTAAATCTATTATTCTTAGTACAAACATAGATAACAATTACGGTGACAATTCAATACGAAAAAAATCTGTTATCCACTCTGTTCACACTATTAATTTTATGAGAGTATCATCAATCGAATTATTTTTCGAAACCTAATCTAAGTTATGAATTTAATTCATTGGTAAAGTGTATTTTAGCCTATTGATGTGGTGTGTGGGATTAAATCGACTCGATCCTCATTTAAGATCGATATGTAGGACTTGTATACTACCTCCGGATTATATTATATGCAACTTTGGAATTTTTTATATCTCACAAATAATACCCCAAAGTTGCATATAATACAATCCGGAGGTTGTATATGAAATGTCAAATGTTCAAGATCTTCTCCCACATGGGATTAGGATTGGTTTTGGTGGTACTATTTATTTTCTAGTCCTTAAAATAATACTTTTAAATCAATAAAGTATTTAGTTGAAGTGTAAATATAAATCAATTCTCCTTATTGCTTTTTTTTTTTTTCCATTTGGTCCAATCTTAGTAGCTAGGTTTTACTTGATGATATGTTTCTCAACAAATCTAGATCATCATGAGATTGACGGTAGGTCATGTTGATAATGTAATTTGAACTAATAATATGATAGCTAAATCTACGGGACTATAAATTAGTATTTACGACATATTTCATTAAATCTAATTGATTAGCTATTAAAACGCGGCAGGTAAGCGTACCATGCTGCAGCATGTATAATATGGTAACAGTCAGATGTGGGCATTGTGCCAATCTTCTCTCTGTTAACATTGGACTTTCACCTCCATCTATGCCTTATCAAGATAATTTCCAGGTATAATTTACTTACAATTGATCTCATTTTATTATTTTATTTTTTCTTTCTTTGCAATTATTTGAACAAAGTGTATGTTAAGAAATTAAAATCTATATATAGTTGCTGAGGCAGCACTATAATTATCAAGATGTGAGCAGAGATAGTAGTAGTACTATAACAGGCGGCTCATCGTCTTCAACTATTACTACAATCGCTTCTGATGATCATGATGTTCAACAGACTCGTCCCCCACCCATTCGTCGTAAGTACTTAATTTTTTCAGCTAATCTTAATTCAATTGATATATTTATACTACCTCCGTTAAATGGTATGTGTAACTTTGGGGAATTATTTGTGAGATATAAAATATTCCAAAGTTGCACATAACATTTAACGGAAGTAGTATATGAAATGTTTAGATATTATGGTTTGTTAGTTGTTACTCTTCATAGTTGATCATAATTAGGTCCCTTTTTGTTTTTGAGGATTTAAAGTCGTATAATGAACTTAAAATTATAGATACATTTATATATGACTATATGTATGTTACGGAGTAATATAATAAACCTGAAAACCGAACTTCAATAGATCTTTAACAGCAACAAACAAGCCCTAATTCTTAGGATTTTTGTTCAACAAACAAGCTAGCCCTATAAAAGAAAGTGTTTTGATTTCATGAAATTAACCTAATGAAGATTTGAACATCCAACTTAATTACATATTTGTTCAAATTAAACATAAAAGCATTACTTCGACTTGATCAAAGGGTAACGCGAAGCATTAAAACACACACAAACACGCAAACACACAAGAGCTTTAACCATGTTATTTGTTGGCTTGTTGCTTTCTAAGGCATTTAGGTAAACTCTAATTGTCTTATATGTTTATTGTTGAGCAGCCCCGGAAAAGAGGCAACGCGTGCCTTCGGCTTATAATAAATTTATCAAGTAAGGATTACTAAATCCCCATTGCAAGTTCTAGTTAATCTCTCTATTTGTCTACTTATAACATACTTATTCATCTGTTAGTATGAACTTATAATTGTTTGGTTTTCTCATGCTCACTCTTAAATTTTTAATTAAATATGTTGTTAAGCATGAAGCATTTGCTTTTGAAAACATAAAAAATAAACTTTTAATACTAATTAATTTGTTACATGTTGAATAATACTGTAAAAATACTAATATACTAATTTGTTACCCCCAATTTTTTATTTTTTTGTTTCCCCTTTCTTAATAATTTGGTTCTCTATTGAAGGGAGGAAATCCAAAGGATAAAAGCCAGCAATCCTGAAATTAGCCATAGAGAGGCCTTCAGTGCAGCAGCTAAGAATGTAAGTCTTTTTATGTTCTAAAAGTAACTTTAATTTTATGTTATTTCACCTAATCTGCTATGATCCCATCTAATCCGACTTGATTGTGTCTATCATACATACATTAAATGTATACATGATTATTACAGAGTACTTGATAAATTCGTCGATTTTACTGCATGTCTATTACACAATTATTATACACTCGTATGTACGTAAAATAATAATTAGTTACACCGATGCTGACGTTAGTAAACTGTAGAAGCTAATAGTAAACATAATGTTGGCTTGGCAGTGGGCACATTTTCCTCATATTCACTTTGGCCTAAATCTGGACGGGCAAAGCCAAGCAAGGTTGGACCAACCAGTTTCTGGAGAAGGGACAAACAAGTCTCATGGATTTTACTGAATTAATAATCCTTTCTTATTTACTTTAATTTTTATCAGTCCACACAACAATGTTAATTAGCTAAACTAATCGAGCTTAGCTAATTTTAATCTGTTCTTTATATATAATTATATGTACACAGTTTTTAAAATGACTATATTGTTGTCTATATATGACGTACACTTGTGAGTTGTAACTAATACTTGTATGTTGTGGAGATAATATAATAGGGAATTGAAGAAGTGGGGTTACGAAGGAGGGGCGGATGAGATTCGAACCCGTGACATTTGTGTCACGCTGGCTCCAATACCATGTTAGTGGATCAACTCAACCAAAAGCTTAAGCTAATGGTTGAGGCCTAGGAATATGTTTTATACTCTATCAATCTGCACCATATACAGGCCATAGCTCACTAGCTTGCTAGTTGTTCGCGCCATCATTAAGGTTCCTTAATGACCATCCACAGCATATAGAAAACCCATGTCAATACCAAATACACAATACTGCACAAGCCCTAGCCATTGTGTTAAAGATGTTTTACTACCTCTGTTTCATATTATTTGCAATTAATATGAAGCGAAGAAAGTATTATGGAATATATATTATGACCCTCTTTTCAGCCGAAAATCTTGATATACACTTTAATTTATGACTATTAATCCAATCTAAATTTAATGAAGTCGTTGGTCAAACTTAATTAGATGCATCATGCATGAACTTCTAGTATATGAAGTATGAACTAATTCAAACTCGATGTATAAACTTATTAACCATAATCTAAACTAGTAAATGGAGAACAGTAAATTAGTTGGGGGAGAGAGAAATGCAAATATGAATGAATGAATGATGAAATAATATGGACATTGATAGTTACAGATGCTATACTCAGTGGTCACTATCACCAAACAGTGGGTCCGGGCCCAACTTTAGTCGTCGACAGACAACATCACCAATATTTTCACCGAATTTTATGGACATGATTTTATTTATTTTATTTTAGATATCAAAACAAAATTTCACGAATAAATGATAAATTCTTCCTTTGGGAATTTCTTCCTACTTCATTTCAATGATGGTAGATTTTACGTGTATTTATTTATGTAGTTAAATGCACAGTGTACTATACATTTACAAGAATATAAATATACAGAGTACTGACTTATGGACCGTCCTAAATTTGTTTGCATGCCCCTGTTTGTACTTTTTTTTTATAAGTAGCATTTAGGGCTTCTTCTCTTTCGTTGAAATTCAGTTCAGTTCAGTTCAGCTCTTAATTTACGTCTAATGATATTGCTAATGATATAAAGCCAAATTTCATTCTTTTAAGCTCTTATTACTACGACGACGACGACGACAACAACAACAACAATAATAATAATAATATTAACAATAATAATAATAATAATAATAATCAATAAGTAATAAATAATAATAATAATAATAATCAATAAATAATAATAATAATAATAACAATAATAATTGAAATAATAATACTAATAATAATAATCAATAAATAATAATACTAATAATAATAATCAATAAATAATAATAATAATAATAATAATAATAATAATAATCAATAAATAATAATAATAATAATCAATAATTAATAATAATAATAATAATAATATCAATAATAATATGTACATTTGTACATACACATATGTATAGTAATAAATAATCAATAAATAATCAAATATCACTAATCCGTAGTTAAAAATCACTAATTAATAAGTTCAGTTTAGTTCAGTTCAGTTTAGTTTAGTTCAGTTCAGTTCAGTTCAGCTGAGTTCAGTCAATCGGAACAGATCCTTATTCGATCTTTTATATTATTACCATAATATTAATCGAGGGTCTGTTCTGATTTACTGAAAACAATTGAATTAAAGTCAGCTGAACTGAACAGGCCCTGCGTAACTGTGTTTATCATTAATTTAATCATAATGTGCAAGTCAATGTTTTTAGGTACTTGATGGGAAGTTGTAAAAAAGACTTGAGATGAAAATTTGTCTATTACATCATGGTTAAATATGAAATATTTTAAGGAAACAAAGATGGAATTTTAATGTGTACATAATCACGGCTATAATATTATACTTCGTACATTTTTGTTTTAAATTATTATTAAGATTAATTGAGTTCGGATAAAATAAATTCAAGTACTTTTCAAAAAAAAACATTCAAAAAGATTGAAGATTGTTATTATTTTTTTTAACGCAAAAAGATTGAAGATTACACACCCTTATAAGAGGTAAAGGCTACACATAAGATAGCATATTCTAGAATTGAGGTGATTTTTATGCAAGATGTGGTGATTTTTTTAGGGTAATAAAAGAAGTAATAAATTCCTACTCTGTATATTAATGGGGATGACTTTTCACAATAAAATGCGACCAACTTGAATTGATGGGCGTGCTAGTGTATATTATAATACATTTGTTGTATAAAAAGCTTTGCTAAATATAAATTGACTTAAAAAAGAAATTGGCAACATTATTTACTTTAACAAGGGGAAGAAAATATACTTAATCTCTTTTTCATATTTTCTTTTCCTTTTTGTTATCCTTTTCATGTCATTTCTATTGTCTTTTCCTAGGTGTAACACAAAGTGAATTAGGGTTGACTTTTAAATGTGAAAGCAACTAGTAATATTTTATTTTATTATTTTAATTATTTGAACTATACTTTGTGAAATTAGGAGAATGCATCTAGTTTTAGCTATGATTCTTGTTAGTCAAAATTAAAACCTTTAAAAAAAATTAATAAGAGATCGAGGATATATATACTTTTGAATTTTAAGATTTAATACATTTATTATAATTTACATGAATGAATCATCAATTCAAATATGTATGTATAAATATTTAACACTCACTATTTCTAAAATTTAGTGTTCAAGCTAAGGGTGCTATTGACATGTATGTATAAATAGTGTTCTCCGCCCTTTTCTAACAGTCACTTAAGATGATTTCATTAGGTGTCAACTAATGTTTACATTTCTAGGTATTCATAATCATTTCCCTTCCAACTCAATTATCAAAACCCATATTTTGCGGAAAAAATGTGAAAAGACATAATCATGGTGATTTCATTAGGCTGGGTACATTAAGTAAAGTCATGCATTGGTCTCAATCAAAACAATTTAAATGATCATTCAAAAGTTTATCATATATAGTAGAATGGCCCCAATCATCAGAGAAAATGAACATTCAAAAGAATTACTTGTATTTCCCGGTTTAAAAAAAAAAAGAAAAGAAAAAATAATTACTTGTAGTATATGTTTAGGATGAAACCCGTAAAAAAAAAAAAATTAATTATTGTACGTGAAATCGTGAATAAAGGAAATGGATCCGATTTTCCACTTCATATATGCTCGATTAACTAAATTAAAACAACGCTGCATGCACAAAAGTAAAGGGCATAAATGCATAATATATAATTTATGTTTGTGTTTTAACATGGTATATAAAAATGGAATGAGAACGAAAGTGGATGAAATATCATTAATACTATATGCTAAAAGACACACAATCAATGACACGTGTCATCTCCTAGTGTGTCTTTAATTATTATTTTTTTTTATATAAAGAAATTAAATCTATTAATTAAGGAAACAAATCAATTTCAAAAATAATATTATTTGTTATACATATTCCATATTAATGTAGTATATTTAAAATAAATAGATTTCACAAATAATTTTTCTAAAACAGAAAATTAGACAACTATAAACCAAAAAATATATTCTAAAAAAAATTTTGTGATTTGTTTTACAACAAAAAAAATATTGCTTGGAATTCTTGCCTACTTTTATTTTTAATTGTGTATTTAGAAACTACAATTAAAATTTAACATATCACATAATTTTATTTTTTCTCGACTAATTTATGATTATAATACTTATCTGTTAATTATCTATAACGATCACGGTGTATGGCACGGGATCTAACCTAGTATAAATAAATAATAAAAAAAATTATAAAAAAAAGGTGAAAAGTACAATTATTAACAAAACTCGAAGAGGAGAAAGTGAATGTAGTACATCAAAAAAGGTGAAAAGTATAATTATAAACAAAAGTTAGAAAAAAAAAGTACTCATACAAGGTAAGTGAAATATTCATGATAATTTCAAAAGTATAATTAATATAGTTGATAAAAATGAGGATATAATAGTCTTTACATATTATCCAAAAATAGAAAAGGAACAACATTTTGAGTCTCCAAAGTAGAAAAACATATATAAACAAGAGTATGTAATATGGGATGGGGGGTATTGTTTACACGTATTACAAAGCATATCAACAATAATTTAGTTGGTTAAAATGCGATAATATTGAATGGTATGGAGTAATATCCTCTATTGAACACCTGAAATTGAATTAAATCTAGTACTCCGTATATAACTACCAGTATATAGTTATATACTGTATCATTGTTCTTGATGCTCTTGTTAATGTAGGCATTGTAGGGTATAGTTGCATATAAGAGTATTATCTAATTAAATTTTTTTTGTTACTCATCATTTTAGGTCTTATTCTCTTAAACTACTATACTAAAATCTGTTTTGCTTTATTATGTTGAAATCTGCTGAATAAAAATTTGTTTTGCTCTGTTTAGAAGTCCAAAAGAACTGGACTTTTTTTTTTTCCTTTACATTTTTCAGCTAGTTTATGTGTTGAGTGGGAAAGAAGGAGATGTCAATGATATCTGCATATACTTACACTATGCTGTTTGAGAGGGGGCTGCTGTTTGTAGTGGCAGACCTCATCAGATCCCTCTTTCTAAATTATTAAAGTTTACAAAAGCAAAACTTTATTTTATGGTATTATTTATACTCTCTCCGTCCTCCTTTAATAGTCCCTTATGAGCATTTTTCAAGGGAATTAAAAAACACAAATAAGAATAGAATAATTACATTGAAAAAGTAAATTAAAATTAAGTATACAAACAAATAGAGAGAGAAAGTAATAAAAATACATGAGAAAATTAAATTTACATGGAAAATTAAATTTGCACAAATATTGTTGTAAATTGGAGGAAATTTTGGTAAAAAATTAACATTAAAGGTTGTTGGAAAAAGCAAATGGGACGAACATTTTGAAACTAAAATTTGCCCATAAGGGACTATTCAACAAAGGGAGTATTTAAAATGATACATGATTGATATTTTTAGGACAATTCATTAACACACAAACACTGTACTATATGATTTGACGTTACAGATTCTGCATGCTTGACCTCAAATTGGGTCCCCTTCTATATATCGTATTTTAGCTACCAGATATACAGATTAAAGAGAGAAAAAATTATGTAATTATAATCCACACTAGATATACAGAAATTTAACATGTGTTATAAACTGTTTACCAAAGGAGTTTACGGCCAACAAATATTAGCCAAATTCTATCTTTTTCAATTCATTTATTTAAAATCTTAAGACCTTGTATGTTTCCATTTATGTATGTATATATATTTTTTTAAGAGCTGTCAAAAGTTAAATACCGACTCAAATTCGATTATTAACCGATCCATCTGAACTCAAAAAAATAGTGACCCAAACCCGAACTGAAACCAACCCTAAACCCGAGTTGACCCGAGTCCGTGAGATTCGAACCCAAACATGGACTGACTTGGAAATGACCCGACCCGAATGTAACCCGTAAATTATTGCTCTGAACCGAATCCGACTTTAACCGAAATTGACCCAAACCCGTTTTAACCCGTCAAAACCCGAATTCAACCCGACTTGTTACTAACCTGATCTAAATTCAACCCGACCCGTTCCTAATCCGACCCGAATTTAACCCAACTTGTTACAAACCCGACCCGAAATCAACCCGACTTGTTATTGACCTGACCCAAATTCAACCCAACTTGTTATTGATCCGACCTGAATTTTATCAGAACTATTACTAACCGGGCCGACCCAAAAATGAAACCCGATCTATTATAAACCAGACTCGAAATCAACACGAATTGTTATTGACCCGACCTAAATTCAACCCAAATTGTTCCTGACCCGATTTCAAATCACCTTAAATGCAATTTAGACCATCTTATTATTGTTGATCAAAGCATTTTGTCTAGGGAGACCAAGTCGGTCCAGGCCAGCAAAAGAAAGGAGCATCATCCTCAAATTTAAGAGTTAAATATAGTATATATTTGTTGTATGGTCAAAGGAGATAATTATCTTCCTAAATTATAAACAATAGTTCCCTAGTATATTGCCATATATATTATAACCAAAGGAAATAATTAGCTTGATTAAAATGATAATTATCTATTTAGAGTTAGTTGAACCCGAATATGACCTGATTTGGAAATAACCCGACCTGATTGTAACCTGCAAATTATTGACTTGAACATAACCCGACTTGACTCCGAGAATGACCCGACTTGGAAATGATCCAACCTGATTATAAACCGCAAATTATTGCCTTGAACCGAACCCGAGTTGAACACGAAAATGACTAGACTTGAAAATGACCCAACCTGGTTATAACCCGCAAATTATTGACTTAAACCAAACCCGACTCAAACCTGAGAATGACCTGACCTGATTCTAACTCGCAAATTATTGACTTGAACCAAACACGACTCGAACCCGAGAATTACCCTAACCCGTTTTAACCCATGAAAACCTGAATTAAACCCGAACTATTGTTCACCCAACCCGAATGTAACCCGACCTAAACCTGACCCAAACCCGATAAGAAGTATAACCGAACGTGGCCCGTCTCAAACATGACTCAACCCAAACCTGACCCGCATATGTTACGGAATTAATCTGAATTGGCCTGACCCAAGTTGACCCGACCCACTCTTACCGACCCAAACCCGACCCATTTACCCAAATTGACAGCTATACCCCAAAACTCCCAAATTTCTCAAAAAGCGTGGATATTAGCCTTCAACTATGGAATTTTTTGACTTTTTTTGCCCGAAAATAAAAATTGCCGAAATATTTATTATGGTCCCTAATACCCACTGGGAGTCCAATTGGGTGGGTGGAATCATCGAATTTGCCTTTAAACGTCCGATTTACCGATTTACAACTTGCACCGATTTCATTAATTCAAGTCTATCACGAACATTTATGACAACATATAATGATCATATATGGTTCCAAATGGCATTATATGATTCCGAGATGTATCGCTTAATATCTCAAGCATTTTCGACATCGGCCCCGAAACTTCTCAAATTTCTCAAAAAGTGTGGATATTAGCCTTCAATTTTGGAATTTTTTTACTTTTTTTTGCCTGAAAATAAAAATTACCGAAATATTGACAGTGTTCCTCAATACCCTCTGGGAGTCCAATTGGGTGAGTGTATCCATCCAATTTGCCTTTAAACGTCCAATTTACCGATTTACAACTTGTACCGATTTTATTAATTCAAGCCTATCACGAACAGTTATGACAACATATAATGATCATATATGGTTCCAAATGACATTATATGACTCTGAGATGTATCCCTTAATATCTCAAGCATTTTCGACACCTGGCTTCGAAACCTCCAAAATTTCTCAAAAAGCGTTGATATTAGCATTTAATTTTTGGAATTTTATGACTTTTTTTCACCGGAAATAAAAATTGCCGAAATGTTAATCATGGTCCCCAATACCCTCCGAGTCCAATTAGGTGGGTGGAACCATCCAATTTGCCTTTAAACGACTAATTTACCGGTTTACAACTTACACTGATTTCATTAATTCAAGTCTACAACAAACATTTATGACAACATATAATGATCATATATGGTTCCAAACAACATTATATGACTCAGAGATGTATCTCCTAAAATCTCAAACCTTTTCGACACGTGTCCCCGAAACCTCCAATATTTCTCAAAAAGCGTGTATATTAGACTTCAATTTTTTAATTTTTTTCACTTTTTTTGCCTGTAAATAAAAATTGTCGAAAGGTTCACCTGGGAGTCTAATTAGGTGAGTGGAACCATCCAATTTTATGGTTCTCCATTGAGGCTCCTTCTGATATTTCTACCTTTCATTGAAGCTACTACTAAGGTAATATTATGGTTTCTTTTTATAATTATATCGAATATCAATTTTACAATCTACTTTAGGGATGACCGATGATTGATTTTCAGTATACTCAATTTAGGTCCTTTTAAAATCGATTATCTATTGAACTATGGTTTGTAATTACTAAAGTCGGTATTGTTTCTAGAGAAAAACAAAAAAGCTGAACGAAGGAATTGAAAGGAAAAAAAAACAAACACTCTTCTCTCTCTTCGATTATTTCAAACGGACTCTCGGATTTCGCCATTCGCCTGCCGTCGATCGCCCCGCCCCGACGGCCGCCGCACCATCCAGCCACCTCCGCCCGCACAGCCGTACTCCACTCCTACAGCCTTGTTGCGTGCCCTTTGACTCTTCTAGGTAAGTTAATTGATTTTTAAGTTTTTAAATTCGGATTATACACAAATTGTTGACTTATTAGGTTGATTTTGTACTTAGTTTATGTTATTTAATCTAGTCAATTTGAGTGTTTTGTTCTTTGAAATTGTGATTTGTTATTAAATCTAATATATAATTGTAGAGTTGTTTTTTCAACTTTCATTCACAGCACTCTAATTCGAGCAATTATGTGCATTCTAATTTTTTTTTTGTATAACTTCCTCTCCAACTTCCACTATTTTTATTTTTTTCGGAGGAAAATAACTACCTTTATCTTTTTTTTTTTTTTTTTTTGGCAATAACTTTTAATTCTCTAAATTTTAGATAAAAATAAATAAATAAATAATTCACTTTCACTTTTACTATTTTACAATACAATAATATATATCTCCACATACAATTCACTGTAGCACTCAAAATCCCCAACATTTCACTTTTTTTGAACACTACGTACTAAAATTTCACTTTGTTTTACGAGTATTTTTTTAGTACATAGTATAATATATGTCATACATTACCACGAGTATACAGTTTCGTTATCAACCATTCACTATAGTATTATAAATCCCCAACCCTTCAATTATATGCATTTTTTTAGGGATTATCCTCCAAACATTTTCCGTTTCTTTAATCATTAAAAGCAAAAAAAAAAAAAAAAAAAAAAAAAATGTACAACACGTTTTTTGTGGAACTGGCCTTAACGAATAACTACTTGCAACTAAACAAAGTATGTAACTCCTAAAGCAAGACACCAACTCATATGACACTAACCCAGTAACACGAGTAACCCCTATAACATTGAACGAGTAACCTCTATAACTTTGAAAAAGTAAACTTCAAAATAGCATTACGTGACCACTAACATAAAAGAGTAAGACCCCTTTTTTTTGAGCTTCTAAGCAATTAAAGCATAGAATATCATATTTCAGCATAGCACAGCAGGTGACATCACATTATTAATATGATTATTAATACTTAGTACAACAAAGTTAATTAGGGTTCAATAGAACCGACCAGTCCAAAACCGACCATTATAGCTCATAAATTACAATATCAAAATCAACTTTTCATATTTTAAATATATTTTTTCTTATATATCCCGTGCATTTTACACGGGTACACCTTAGTTTATCAAATTAGGGAGTTAGGGTTTCTGATTTTTTTAGGAATTGATAATATTGAATTGCTGATTTTTTTTTTTCTTCTGAAAATTGATATTATAATTGACAATGGGCTAGTAAATTTGATGATTTCATATTTAATCTATGAAATTAGGGGTTAAGATTTAAGAACTTAGGGTTTCTTACTTTTCATATTTAATCTATGAGCCTAGGGCTACTGCTATGTTAATGTTAATGTTTAGGTTCTGAAAAAGTAATGCTTTTTTTTTTTTTTTTTTTTTTGGTGAAAATACAGACTAAATTCTTAAGTTTACCCCATATACAATATCTACGAGTAAGAAGAAATGGGTAGATGTTGAACACCCAGAATATGTCGAGTTTATGAAAAGTATCGCGGAAGATGATTCAGATCCTTGGTATGTTGAACGCGCCAAGGAAATACTGGAATCAGATTATTGTGAGCCTCGTAATCCTCATATTCCAGCATCTCCTTTGTTCGAGTTGTCGTCTATCAAAATCTCCAGGAACTTGTTTCTAGATATGGATGTGAGAAAGGGATATGTTAATGATGTTCGGGGACTCAAATTTGGTGTTGTAATTGAATTCTATGGTCATATTAGATTGGTTGATGACAATGGAAATGTGTTTACCCTCTTCAAGTTAGATCGCAAAGATGCCAAAACCATGGTTTTGGAAGATACTTTCTCGCTCATTCTTCGAAAATCTCAACTAGGTACCCCTCGATGTCTTCCAAAACACCTTGGGCTACATATTTTACTCAAAGATAGGATCCGAGATGTTGTATTCTGTGAAGATTGGGCGTTCTTATATTTCTCTGAGGGTGATTGTAACGACTTAATGCTAGACACAACCTATTTCAGTGATCCTATTCCTGAAAGCCCCTTTAGAAGTGCCCTTAAAATAAGCTGCACAATATCATATTGTGCATTACTTGCTTGTGTAAGTGTTACTTTTCTTAGTGTTGTAAGTGGAAGTGATCAAATTGATTCCGAGGAAGTGAAATTGAAACTTGGAGCATCAATTATACTTGGGAATAGGAAAGTGTTCCATGAGCTTCTTGACGAGTCTTTGAATTTAAAATTTGGGGTTTCTACTGAGTTGTGTGTGTTAGCTGTGCCAGCATACTCGCCATTACAAATCTTAGCTGATTTGAAATTCGATGGTGAAGAGACTATTGTAAGTGAATTGGAATTCATTCCAGTGGATACACGTTATGGGGACGAGTATGAAAAGGAAATTGTTGGGCAAAAATGTAAGATGTTAGTGAATGTGACTTGGAAGCATGCTTTCGATAAGCTACCAGAAAACTATCTTCGAGAGTGGAATGATGCTCCTAGTGATGATGAAAGTGAAGAATTAGATTGGAAAGAAGGGAGTAGTTTTGAGGAGAAACAAAAAAGTCTTGAGGAGGTGGGTTTATTTATGTTTTCTCGTTGTTCCTTTGCTATTTTGCTACTTTTTTTTTATCAGATCTAATGTTTATTATTCTTTTGGCTACAGCTCATGGAGATGACATCCAAGGAAACTGGTGTTTATATTCAACCACAGCTACAATCATTGTGCGATAAAAAGTGGTAAGTGGAAATTTTGATATGTACACATTATTTGAATTCTGAATATTTCTCTTTACATATACATGTTAAAATTGTTAATTTATTATTGTTATTTCGATTTAGAACATTTTTGTAAGACAAAATTGGTAGACTATAAAGCTGAGTGATAAAGGGTGGTCTTTTTTTTTTTTTTTTTTAAAAAAAAAATTATTTTTTAATTGATCTAAACTTGATTTTCCAGGCTCACAAATTCCTGCCCCGAAGAGCTTGTGGAGTTATTTTGTGTTTCCATTTGTTCTTTTGATGACTTAGGTGATGTTTTGAGTCTCACCGGAGAAATGGATGCATATGAAATCACTGAAATCAAGAATTGCTTTAGTGTACACGAGTTGGAAGTTGGCATCTTATATCCGCAACTATCTCAATATTGTATCACAGCTCCTAACTTTGGTATGTTTTTTGATTTGGAGGATGCTAAAGGTCATCAAATCAGCAGAGGATTTTTGGAATATAGTGAAAGGATTCTGCCCGAGTATAATAGACGTTTGTGCTCTATAGTTCCGGGTAAACACGGTTATGCGGCCGCATATTATACAGTATTTCAGGATGCAACACAAGCTAGAGTAAAATTTACATTATTGACGCCTGAGAAAGGAGGTGAATGTCGTGTTTGTGGGAGTATTAATGGTAGGTATAGCAACTACAATTACTCCACCAACTATGAGAAGAACTACTTTCAAAGTATTCTTTATGAAAAGGGCAAGTCTGTGTTGGTAAAGGGTGGTGATGAACTACCTTTGAGAAAATCTGTGATTGCTGTGCCATCAATTGCTTCACTTATTTTAAAAGTTGATTTGAGTATTTTGGTTAAGGGTGAGTGTGTTGAAACAATAAGGGGTAAGGTATCATTCAAGCCTCGAGATTGTGATACCGAAGATCTCAATGAGCAACAGATAATCAACGGGTTGAATTCATCGTCAACCTATTGTTTATTAGTCTATGTGGTATGGGGTTATCAAGAATTTGTCCAGAAATTTGATAATTGTAGCATTTCTTCTTAGCAACAATTTCACCTCTATTGTTGTTATTAGTGTCTTCTATATGATATCAATGACTTATTACAAGTTTTATTTATGTACTATAATTTTCTTATTCTAGTTGCAGTTGGATTATCAATATTTGTGTTATAATTTTTTTTTGTTTGTTCACTATGTTTTTATTGTACGAATTATGCGTTAGAATGGTAGATGAAGACCTAATTGATGTGGGTTACCCCGTACCCCGTATCAGAGTTTTCTTCGTCTAAATTTGTAAGGAATGACCCCTAACCAAAGCCCCAGTTCATAGGGTGGTTAAAGTTGAATGTTTTTTTTTTTTTTTGACATGAAAAGTTGAATGTTCCAAGTGCTTGAAATGTTATAAAACAACTTCTTCAGGTAATGACCCACCTAACTAAACACATACTCAACCTACTAAAAACCTTGATTAGATTGTACAAGCATGCTTAAGCTTACATGATGAAAGATAATCTTTATTTCTTTGCAAGAGTCTAAAAGTTATTTTCAGGTTTCGGCAAGAGCATGGTTTATTAAGGGCTTCCAGTTAATGGGGAAGAAATGATTGGTGAAGGAAGCTCAACTCAACCTTTGTTTGTTTGATCAAGAGGTTTAAGTTTGTAGTGCCATACTGTGAAAAGCAATAAAAGGATCTTAAAGTTGCTCTTCAGTTATGAGTCGTGGGCTTCCGCATTTAGAGACCATATTGTTCATGGTCATAATATGTATGCCCAGATCCAGTTACTGCTCAGTCATACGAGTCTCTCGTTTGCTTCCAAAGAGGGAAGTTAAGTTGAGGATGAGATAGCTAAATCTGAGGTGTTTTCAGAGGCTGAATATGTGAGGAAGTGTGTTGAAACTTGTGCTGCTAGTTCTGAAGCACCTGCTATTGCTAAGATCTTTGCTGTCCCTACAAAGGTGATTCCTCATAAGGGTCTAGATGGGGGATTTCGAATGACTTTACTGATAAAAAAATGGGAACGACCCAGAGTCAGATGAATATTTTCTTGCATTTGCTAGAATTTATAGTGGAAGCCTTGATGCTGGGCAGTAAAATCTATGTTCTTTCATCGTTGTATGATCCACTGAAAGGAGAAGCATTTGTCGGAAGCGGAATTGCAGTCATTGTATCAGATGATGGGCCAGGGTCTTGCACCTGTTGCATCTGTCACGGCTGGAAATGTGGTAGCTATGAGAGGACTAGGGCATCATGTCTTACAAAGTGCGAAACTTTCATTGACGAAGAACTGTTGACCTTTCTAGAGTTTGATGTTCAGGTTTACCAATTCTTAAAGTTGTCCTTGAGCCCTTTGATCCAGTAGATATGTATGCACTTATGAGGGGTTGTGAAGGTTTCTGTCTCATCTAGGGGAGAAAATGTGCTTGCTGCTGCTGGAGAGGTGCATCTTGAGAGATGGATGCATTAAGGATTTGATGGAAAGATTTGTCTCGACCACTTGTCTCCTACAAATAGATTATTGAGGGTGAAGAACCTAATATATTAGATAATTTGGAAGTATTGTCTGGAAATACAGAATATGTTGAAAAGACAACTTCTGATGGAAGTTGCACTGTTAGAGTGCCAGCCATGAAGCTTCCAAATGCTCTAATGAAGTTGCTTAGTGAGAATTCTGACATACTTGGGGAAATCATTAGTGGTAAACTTGGTCAGACTTATAAGAATTTGGATTCACAGATAGGTTCTATTGCTGAAGATGGCGAGCCCCTTGAAGCATTCAGGAAATGCATCAGGGATGCTGTGGAAAGCGATATTGTTTCTGCAGTTGCAGAAAACAAAACTGATCTGATTCAAAAGGGTCTTTACCCATCTGATCAATCATTGTGCAAAAAGGAGTGTTGCATCTGCGTAGCTTTAAATCAGGATAATGATGCCATGACATTGGGTTTTCTAGGATCACTTGGTGCTTTTAAATGGGAAGGGCTTGATGGTTCTTGAGTCCCTTGGCCTCTAATAAAAGACTGCCCCAGGTTTGTGTTTTTGTTGCTTAAACATGTGTACACTTGCTCATTTATGTGTCAAGCTATCCTCTTAACAAGTTCGATGATGCTCTTCAGAAGAAAGAAATTGAGGTTGCTCTGTTGTTGGGGCATTTAGGAGGGAATAGCGTAAAGACATGGCATTGCAAGCATCACTGCTGAAAACCAGGTAGCTATGCAGCTGGTATGTAGCAAAAGGACCTTATATGCTATCAATCTATTCAATATTCATTTAATTCAGCTCTTGTCAGACTCTCAGTAGTGTTATACCATTTTATCAAACCTTTACTCCCACTCTTCTAACAAGGCTTTGTTAGAGCAGAGCAAGGAGGGGAAAGGGTCAGATGGTACCGTTTGAATTACACAGAAGCGGTTACTGTAGGCCCATGACCTTTCTGGCATCTTAATCCAATTATAAAAATTTATCCATTGGGGACTTTCAAGTTTGTGAAAAATGAATAATATTAAATGTGTACCGTGCTGGTATGCTATCCATTCTGTCCCTGTTGCCTGTCTATCAAGTGATTGGATTTCTTGTCTCTCTAAGCCACAGAGTAGTAAGAACAGAGATCCTCAAGGGTTACCAGTTGCTGGTATCTTTGTATTTCCAACAATGATAATCGCAATCCTCTTTGTATGTTTCAAGAAAATTACTAAATATACTGTATGCCAACACGCGACAGCTAATATGTGTGCTGCTTGACAGATTACAATCTTTCTGTGAGGAAGGTGAATGAGAGAGAAAGATCGAACAGATCAACACAATGCAGAATTGATCAATCTCATTTTATGCTCTCTTCTTGTTAATGACTAGCAGGCTAGACAACAATTTCTTAAACAATGTGCAGTTACTTGAAGCAATTTATTGCAAGTTTATGCATGAATCAGAACCATCAAATGCTCAGGTGCCTTTTATGACTTTTTTGTTAAGGTTTTTTTGTCATCGTGTTTACTTCACTTATAAAGCGTGACATGAATCAGCAGAAAAGGAGTTCTTGTTTGCTGACAGACAGCTGAGCGATTTGAACCAACTCAACTCTAACAAGGTAGGATGTCATACTCGTGTGATCTGTTCCTGTAGGCATTAGGCAACCTTTAACTAGTACTAATTTAGATCACCTCATGTTCAAAAGGACATTGATAAAAAAAATACTTTTATATTGTAGCTATTGAGTGCTCACTATAAATCTAAATACGAATTCTGGGGGAGCAAATGATAAATGCTAGGGATTTAGCAACGACCATAGTTTGATGCTAACAGTAATACATTCAAAATCAAATTTGAGTGATAATTTGGTCCGTCCATTCGCTTATGATAGTAATAATTTGCCCAACATACTTAGGAAATTACTTCAGCACGAAAAGTATTGGAATCTCGTGAATGCACAAATTCTTCTAAGGTACTATCTTCCTTTATTTAGTTGCATTGACTCCGAGATATATCCCCTAAAATCTCAAGCCTTTTCGACACCTGGCCTCGAAACCTCAAAAATTTCTCAAAAAGCGTAGATATTAGCCTTTAATTTTGGATTTTTTAACTTATTTTCGCCAGAAACAAAAATTGCCGAAATGTTTACCATGGTCCTTAATACCCTCTAAGAGTCCAATTGGTTGGGTGGAACCATCCAATTTTCCTTTAAACGTCCAATTTACCGATCTACAACTTGCACCAATTTCATTAATTCAAGCCTACCACGAACATTTATGACAACATATAATGATCATATATGGTTCCAAACGACATTATATGACACCGAAATGTATCCCCTAAGATCTCAAGCATTTTCGACACCGAGCCCCGAAACCTCTCAAATTTCTCAAAAAGCGTGGATATTAACCTTCAATTTTGGATTTTTTTGACTTTTTTTTGCCAAAAACAAAATTGTCTAAATGTTTACCATGGTTCTTAATATCCTCTGGGAGTCCAATTGGGTGGGTGAAACCATCCAATTTGCCTTGAAACGTCCATTTTACCGATTTACAACTTGCACCGATTTCATTAATTCAAGCCTACCACAAACATTTATGACAACATATAATGATCATATAAGGTTCCAAACGGCATTATATGACACTGAGATGTATCACCTAAAATCTCAAGCATTTTCGCCACTGGCTCCAAAACCTTTTAAATTTCTCAAAAGCGTGGATATAAGCCCTTAATTTTGGAATTTTTTAACTTTTTTTTGCCCGGAAATAATAATTGTCGAAATGTTTACCATGGTCCGTAATACCCTCTGGGAGTCTAATTGGGTAGGTGGAACCATCCAATTTGCCTTTAAACGTCCAATTTACCGATTTACAACTTGCACCGATTTCATTAATGCAAGCCTACCACAAACATTTATGACAACATATAATGATCATATATGGTTCCAAACGGCATTATATGACTCCAAAATGTATCCCCTAAGATCTCAAGCATTTTCAACACCGAGCCTCGAAACCTCTCAAATTTATCAAAAATTGTGGATATTAGCTTTTAATTTTGGAATTTTTTGACTTTTTTTTGCCTGGAAAAAAAATTGCCGAAATGTTTACCTCGGACCTTAATACCCTCTTGGAGTCCAGTTGGGTGGTTGGAATCATCCAATTTCCCTTTAAACGTCAAATTTACTGATTTACAACTTGCACCGATTTCATTAATTCAAGCCTACCACAAACATTTATGACAACATATAATGATCATATATGGTTCCAAACGGCATTATATGACACCGAGATGTATCCCATAAAATCTCAAGCATTTTCGACAGCGGGCCCTGAAACCTCTCAAATTTCTCAAAAAGCGTGGATATAAGCCTTCAATTTTGGAATTTTTTGCCATTTTTTTTGCCCGGAAATAAAAATTGCCGAAATGTTTATTATGGTCCCTAATATCCTCTGGGAGTCCAATTGGGTGGGTGGAACAATCTAATTTTCCTTTAAACATCCAATTTACCGATTTACAACTTGCACCGATTTCATTAATTCAAGTCCACCACAAACATTTATGACAACATATAATGACCATATATGCTTTCAAACGGAATTATATGACTCCGATATGTATCCCCTAAAATCTCAATTATTTTCGACACCTGGCGTCGAAACCTCTAATATTTCTCAAAAAGCGTGGATATTAGGTTTCAATTTTGTAATTTTTAGACTTTTTTTGCCCGGAAATAAAAATTGCCGAAATGTTTACCATGGTCTCTAATACCCTCTGGGAGTCCAATTGGGTGGGTGGAACCATCCAATTTGCCTTTAAACATCCAATTTACCGATTTACAACTTGCACCGATTTCATTAATTCTTGCCTACCACGAACATTTATGACGACATATAATGATCATATATAGTTCCAAACGGAATTATTTGACTCCGAGATGTATCCCCTGAAATTTCAAGCCTTTTCGACACCTGGCGTCGAAACCTCCAAAATTTCTCAAAAAGCGTGGATGCCTTCAATTTTGGAATTTTTTGAGTTTTTTTCGCTGGAAATAAAAATTGTCGAAATGATTACCATGATCTCTAATACTCTCTGGGAGTCCAATTGGTTGGTTGGAAGCATCTAATTTGCCTTTAAACGGTCTTTGCCGATTTACAACTTGCAACGATTTCATTAATTCAAGCCTACAACGAACATTTATGACAACATATAATGATCATGTATGGTTCCAAACGACATTATATGACTCCGATATGTATCCCCTATAAAATCTCAAACATTTTCGACACCGGGCCCCAAAACCTCTAAAATTCCTCAAAAATCGTGTATATTAACATTCAATTTTGGAATTTTTTGCCATTTTTTTGCCCGGAAATAAAAATTGCTGAAATGTTTACCATAGTCTTTAATATCCTCCGGGAGTCCAATTGGGTGGGTGGAAGTGTGGAACCATCCATTTTGCCTTTAAACAACCAATTTACTGGTTTACAACTTGCACCGATTTCATTAATTCAAGCCTACCACGAACATTTATGACAACAAATAATGATCATATATAGTTCCAAACGGTATTATATTATCCCGAAATGTATTCCATATAATTTCAAGACTTTTCGACACCAGGCCCCGAAACCTTCAAAATTTCTCAAAAAGCGTGGATATAGCCTTCAATTTTTGAATTTTTTGACTTTTGTCCGGAAATAAAAATTGTCGAAATGTTTACTATGATCCTTAATACCTTCCGGGAGTCCAATTGGGTGTGTGGAACCATTTAATTTATTTTCAAACGGCCAATTTACCGGTTTACAACTTGCACATATTTACCGGTTTACAACGACCAATTTAATTAACTTGCACCGAACCCGACTTGGACCGAAATTGACCTAAACCCGTTTTTACCTGTCAAAACCCGAATTTAACCCGACTTGTTTCTAACTTGACCTGAATTCAACCTGACCCATTCCTAACTAGACCCGAATTTAAACCATTTGTTATAAACCTGACCTGAAATCAACCCGACTTGTTATTGACCAGACCCAAATTCAACCCGACTTGTTATTGACCCAACCCGAATTTTACCATACCTATTACTTATCCAACCCAAAAATTCAACCTAAACTGTTACTAACCCCACTTGAAATCAACACGACTTGTTATTTACCCGACCTAAATTCAACCCAAATTGTTCTTGATTCAATTTGAAATCACCCAAAACGCAATTTAACCCAGCTTATTATTTTTTATCAAAGCATTTTGTCTAGGGAGACCAAGAAAATATAGGCCAACAAAAGAAAGGAGCATCATCCTCAAATTTAAGAGTTAAATATAGTATATATTTGTTGTATGGTCAAAGGAGATAATTATCTTCCTAAATTATAGACTATATTTCCCTAGCATATTGCCATATATATTATAGTCAAAGGAAATAATTAGCTTGATAAAAATGATAATTATGTATTTATAGTTAGTTGAACCCGAATATGACCTGACTTGGAAATGACCCGACCTGATTGTAACCTTGAAATTATTGACTTGAACATAACCCGATTTGAATCCGAGAATGACCCGACTTGGAAATGACTCAACCTGGTTATAACCCGCAAATTATTGACTTGAACCGAACCCGAGAATGACCCGAACTGATTATAACCCGCAAATTATTGACTTGAACTGAACCCGACTCAAACCCGAGAATGACCCGACCAGATTCTAACCCGCAAATTATTGACTTGAACCAAACCCGAGAATTACCCTAACCCCATTCACCTGACCCGAATTTAACCCGACCTTAACCCGATCTAAACCCGATAAGAAGTATGACCCGACATGACCCGACTCAAGCATGACCCAACCCGCATAGGTTATGGAATTAAGCTGAATTGACCCAACCCGAGTTGACCCAACCCAAACCTGACCCGTTTACTGGAATTGACAGCTCTAATTTTTTTTCTTTTATAAATGAAGTTTTCTTCTAAATAATCTGTTTTGATCTTTTATTATTGTATAGGTTAGTTTTGTTCTAAATAATAATACGAAATATTATTACCGATAAAAACAGAGCAAAAAAAGAATGCTTTTAATTCCACACCTGAAAGTCTGAACTCTGAAACACAGAACTTATAAGGTCGTGTGAGTGATTTTTTTTTTTTTTTTTTTTAATTTATTAGTTGTTACTCGTATTATAATATCATGCTTGACATTTCAGTTGCAAACTTGCACCTTTAAGTCTTTAACAAGCTTATTTAACAACGCATTGAGATTATTGGAATGCTGATAGACCATAATTATGATCAAATCCGCATACGTCACCACGTTTATGGCTCCATGAAAAATTTAAAAAAAAAATTAAAAAATATAAATAAATTAAAAAAAAAAAAAAACTGATGATTAAAAATAACAAAAAACTAGAATTAGAATACTAAAAAAAACTAGAATTAATATCTGATGAATTGCTTTTCAACTGATCCAAGGTATGTTACACCTCTTTCAAAAAAGGAATACAATGCTTTAGAGGTAGGAAGCTCTAAAGAAACCAAGCAAAACAAACCCCCCCAAAAAGAAAAGGCAAAAGGTAAGAAGAAAGAAGAAATATGACATCAGGTAATTGCAATTCCTGAAAACAAATGGGTTAGTAACTAAAGGAGCTTAAATTGCAGCAGATGCTCACCCTGGTACCAAACTATCTATGCAGCTATTCTGTCAAGCCAAGCATGATCATCAAGGTCGACAGTCGGTCTTTTGAGTTTCATCATCAACTGTCAAGGAGTCCCGAGCATCCCGGAAAAAACGATGCCAGAGAACCAGCAGATACTACCTTTTCAATTAGATTCTGCTTCTCAAATAAATGAATAAATAAATAAATAACTGGAAGGCTTTCTAATATGAGCTACTCTAGAGTATTAACTATCAATAGCTGATGGTTTGGCTGTTATATATCTGCAACTCTTCTATAGAAAAGAACATAAGCGGCTGAAGTCTTTATCTTCTCCTCGCTGATGGGGTATACATTGCTGTCATCGAAGTCATACCACCGACCACCTCCATGCTACAAGATCACAAAAATAACATAGGGCTGAGTACGTAAAAAAAAAGTGAAAACAAAGAAAAAGCAATAACTATACTCCCAACACCCCTAAGGCCCTAACTAATAGGCCACATTTGATTGAGGGTTGTAAACTTGTAATCAAGGAATTGGGTTAGCACTATAATTATCTTCTACTATTTTCTTTGACATTCTTCGCCAAGAGTACCTTAAGAGTAAAGTGGGAAAGTTCAAAGCTATACTTCAAAAAGAAAAAAAAAAAAAACCCGCTCATAATTATGGGCTGATCCAAAATAAAGAGGTGTCACCATGGTAGTATATTAGGGGTTATTAGCTTCTACAATTGATGATAAACAGGTATAGTGTATGGAAAGCTGTTTAAGAAGAAAGTTTTCCCAAATTCCAAATTATTTCATAATGCATGAGTAGCAAATTAGCTATGAGAGACAAACTTACATGGACGAAAGCAGTGTAATGACCACCTCCCAAGCTACCATAGTGATTGCTGATTGCATAGAGCACATAACGGAAAGATGGTTGGGAATTCTTGTTAGCAATATACATGGACAAATCGAGATCATCAACCGGGAAGTCAACATAGGCTTCCAGCTTGTTTTTTGTGTATTTGCTGTATGAAAACCTTTTCAAGTGAATGACCAGAATTTCAGGGAGTCTCCAAAGATCCAACTTTTTGGAGGCCTGACGATGCTGCTTACATCCAGGACAATACCTGGCAAAAAGTACAAGATACAAATAATAAGAGTACAGAAAGAAAAATAAAATACATACGAGGTTGTGGATAAGAAACCATCATAGAAACTAGTAGCTGAATTAAAGAAAATTCCGAATTACAAGTGACAGGTTGCAACAGCATATTCAAAACCCATGCAAATTCGAAACTAAAGTCAAAATCATGCAGGAAAAATAGAAGCCAAACCAAAGAGAATCAAAGCACATGAATAAATTTAATCACATATTTTAAAGTACATGCAAGATTAAGGAATGAAATACCAGGAGAGTAATCTTTAATTCACCACCATATCTACATATTAAATGAAACAAAAGCAAATAAAATACTACTCTCTCGGTTTCATAATGTTAGTCTCACTTACGTATACCGATGCAAATCTTTGATCGCAAATATCTTTAATCTCACATTTGCAAAAATTATATAAAATAGATATTAATAAAGTACTCGTCCTGATGAATAAAACTAGATCTCACATGACTATTTTATTATTATATATTGAGAAAATTTTTGAAGATTCCCTCTAATTTTTATAAGTTAAAACTAAAATTTAATGAGGTGTAGTGACAATTCAGATCAGAAGAATAAGTCCCAGAGCCAAAACCTTCAGATTTAATAAGGGATTTTTCCAACAAGAAAGCATATAAATATATAGTTAAACGGCTTAGACCATATCCAAGTCACTTCAGTTCCAATATCAAACAGAACACTTCGCCAGTTGACCAAGTATATGCTAGTCAAAATCCTAATCATTACCTAATAACACAGATACTAAATACAGTAATGTATAATTTAAGCGACATAGTCATTCCTAAGGAATTCAGGACAAACATAACAGCTCAGAAATGACAAAAACTTACCACATGTCTTCAGGTCCAAGAGGCTCTTCTTTCAAAAATGCTTCCAGGCATCTGTAAAGAGATACAATTTCCTGTGGCCTTTTAGCCAGATAGCCTGACTTAAATATTTCAGGAAGGGTGCTCAAAAGAACCGTATCGTAGATTTCAGTTTTCTTCTCAGGCCAAAAAACAGCAACATTTAACCGTTTTGGCAAGTCCTCAGATGTTACAAGATCCACCATTTCTATTTTAACGTTCTTGAGAATCTCTTTCTCATCTGTCAGGTAGAATTCGAACTCACTATCAGCTGGTAAGCTAACCACCTCGTCATTAATGAGTTTAGCATCATCACTTGATTCAGTAGTAGTAATAGGATCTGTGGTATTCTCCACTAAATTCTCAGCAGCTGTGCTTTTGGAAGCATCCTGATCATCTAAGTCATCTTCACTGGGCATGAGAAATGGATTAAGCAACTTCTTAAACAAATTATAGATATCTGATCCGTTTGTATTGTTGGAAATTCTAGCGACAAGAGGAATTCCAAAAGCTTTCCCGTGGACATTGTGCCTACAATTGAAATTCTTATCAGAAATTCCTTCTGAAAGGAAAACAGTGACATTGTGTTTACGCATTGAGACGAGCACACACAAAGCAGATTGTACACATATACCTTGTCATATTTTGGGTCCTAAATGCCAGTTTTTTGTTTTTTTTTTTTTTTTTTTTTTAATCAACAACATCAAAGCCTTGGTCCCAAAATGATTTGGGGTCAGCTAACAGCATATCAATCATTAACAAGGAAAAAGATTCACCTCTTTAACACATATCTAATATTAAAACATCACTCTTGGAAAAACAAACGTTTTCAAAAAAGAAATATGGCACTCACTCTTCCATCTCTTGATGCGTAAACACAACTATAGTTTCTCTCTCTGTAGCTTTGGGTAGCCGATAAGCTACTAGACGGTCTTCGTCTCTAATCAAGGACAGCGAATCCGCTGAATCTTCCAAAAATCGAATAATACGATGGTTGTATATCTGCAAAGATAAAGCGGTAGAATGAAGCAAGTGGACATTTTAACAATACAACTACGGAGTAGTAATGAACATGCAGACAATACAACATTGGATTCTACCTCAGCCACCAACAGTGTCTCATCAATCCGCAATGAGCATGCACTGGTCAAAGCCTTAACAAGGTCTTCACCTCTCCCATACTTGGGCACAGAAACAGTGACCACCGTAGGCATGAAGCTACCATCAGTATTCATGACAGTCAAGGTCATAGTCCGCATTGTGGTTGAAGGTAGAGGCAGTGACAGATACATAAACGGATCAAATGTCACGGAAACCTTTTCGCAAACTGGACAAACTAATGTTGATCTATATTGACCCTGCAATAATTTTCAGATGTTAAAAGCATTGCAATGCCTGCATTAAGGGTTTACTCATTAAGCTATCACCAACTCCAAAAGTACAAAGACAACATTAATCAACAAAATCATAGTTTGCCAGATACTCCAACTACAGCAAGAAAGTTCAAGTTCCAAGTTAAAGCTCTTAACTAATGAAACTTGTTTTCTTAAAACAACCCAGAGGATGCTGCAAAGATAAGAATATCAGATACATCTTCATTTTTATCTCAAATCTCAACCAACTTATGTCTTGCAGATAGCTCCCAACCCAACAACCCACTTCCTAGCAAAATGAATAGAGAGATACAAAACAATCATTATAGCTTCAAGCACTACTAAGCTATTATTTATAACCACAGCCATACATAACTCAAGCATAAATTTTGAAAGTTTACTATTCAGCGTTCACCACACTGGGGGCATTCGTAAATGAAAACACATCCCTGAATCATCACCTAGATCATATAAAATCATTTGATTACCCAAACATACTGATGAGAACTTCTGTTATCCTTATCCTAGTGCCAAATATTAAAGTCCTAAAAAAGAAAAAACAATCCTGCCATCTTGTTTCACTATCTATCTATCAATCTAAAGATTTGGGTATTCACATCAGCTACTTGAATCTAACTAAAATCTCGTTGCATCATCTCTCTCTTGACTCTCATCCTCCTCCAGTCCTCCCTACATTTTCATACAAGGATATACTCACTTCTCAACCTGAGAATTTGAGGACCAATGTGCTCTTAAGGAAATATTAAACAGCATTTGACTGATTGTTGGAGTTAAAGTATGGTCAAGGATTGACTAAAAGGCTTGATGTAGCTATTGCCAGAACATCTTGTGATTCCGTGTAATCTTCAAAGGCTGCTCTAGGCTAACAGTTTCAACAGAACATAAAACTACATAAAGGAACCAAAAAAAACCCACAAGATGAATAACTAAAATAAAATAAAAGACGTTCTCTTCCAATATGAGCAAGAATTTCACTCTAAGCACATGCTACGCATGACACACAACAAGACTCTCTATAAGGCTCCCGTGAAAAAGTAAATAATAAACCTATTTCAGAGTGAGTAAATAGGCCATCTTAAAAAATCATCTCAGGTATGGCCCACTACTTTAAACATAAAAACTCTCTCAAGAATCCGTACATCATCTAAATAGAACACAAAATAACAATATTTTCTCTTCATTTTGGAGACATATAACATTGCCAAACCAGAAAGGCTCAATAAAAGAGTTCCCATGAACGGATTTTAGAATTTAATATTACTCAGCAAGGCACAATAAACATATTTGGAGAAGCCCATAGCAACCAAACTTACTTGACAAATATCAACAATGATAGAGTCATTCCGAGCCAGATGATTACGCCAGTACTCATCAGCTACATCCTCGTCTGATCGACCATCTCCATCCTTAGCTTCAACATAGGGCTTTAACTTCACACGATTAAGATCTTCATGGAGTCCATCCAGCAAAAAAGAAAGCAGTTCCTATATTATTTGAAGTCAATTAATTCCTCTATCAATAATAAATTCTCTTCAAATAAGTACTTATATGATTTGTATACTAGCACACACACGTAAGGAGGGCACAAGAAGGTAGTGGAGTGACAAAAAAATTGATAGGCGTAAGGTTCCAGAATAAAGGCATACTAACTTGTGAGTCATGCTGATTGAAGCCACTGAATTGAGGAGCAAAGCGAGAGAGCTTCGACTTGAATGTTCTAGGTGCCACTGGTGTTGCTCCAGGAGCCCATAGCCTCCTTATCAAATCTCCAAAAGCCAAAGCAATTTCACCCTAGCGAGAAGGTAGAAACTAATATTCATAATACTAATACAGAAAAAAAAAACACAAAACATAATCAAGTCTGATGATGGAAAGAGAGACATACATCCATGCCCAATGGATTATCATGATTAATTTCTTTATTGTAATCTCCATGAAAATAGTCAACAAGCTTTGGAGTGTGTGCTAAGCACTGAAGAGCACTGTTCATGAAACATGTATTTCCAAGATTTTGCAATCCAGTCAGTCCCAAAGAGCCTGATTCGGCAGGACTGCTACTAAAAGTATAAGAATTGGTCCTAGGGAAACGATAACAGTTTCCAGTGCTACCATTCATTGTTGTAGATGCACTGGAAGAGGAACTTGCCGCAGTAGCCAGCTCGGAAAACTCCTCTCTCTTGCCGTCTCTAGACCTTGGAGAATCTGACAGCCCATAAATTTGCAATTCCAGAAGTATCTGTGAAGGTGTCAAAAAATCCAAATAATTGTGTCAAACGTGTGGCATCTATTTGACATACAGAAAGGCGGACAAAGCTAATACGAATATCAGATAACTTTAAATTCATGAACACGGTAAACAATGAAGGAGGTCCATTAAGCAAATTGTCATGTCATGATTATCATCAATACAGATAACAAGGACAAGGAATTTCCTCATTACTCTCTTTTATTCTTTCCTCTCAGTGTAAAATCATTTGCGTCTGATAATTCCACGACAAAATGTCATACACACACCTGGATATAGAAAACTTTAAATATTTCCTATAACCCCTTTTTTGGCCAGTCACCTCTTACAATCCACGTTGCTTACATAAGATTAGCAACCTTAAGAATAACCCCCACCCTTGCCCCAGAGAGAGAGAGAGAGAGAGAGAGAGAGAGAGACAGAGAGAGAGAGATTGGAAGGAATGAGGAAGTTCCCAGCAGCAACTTGTTCCAGATGAACCAGAATTATGAACCAATAGTCCAATCATACATGTTCCCCCACAGACATCTTTTCAAGCCAGCTAGGAGAAATCATTTGATGATTCACCAGAGAATTACCCAAGGATAATTCTAGAATTTGGTTGAGTAGTTGAGAATTTGATAAGTAAAAGAATAACATAGCTAACAAATAACAAAAGGTAATCAACACAAGTGAAGTGTGTATATGATTTTCTTGGGTAAATGGTAACAAATGATATCAGGAATTCAGTAACAAACTAGACACATTAGAATCAAATTTTATCTCACTAATATTAAGCATACTTTTATAACCAGTCCCAACAATGAATAACAGTGTCAAACTGTTAGAACTAAAAGAAAAAGGAGCCAAGGAGGATTTGGAGCAAATGCTTCAATGTGTTTCCGTCAACCCATTTAGTTTCTAAAGCATATTCAGACTTTATGAGATAAGGGAGGTGATTTGAATTTACTCCCTCCATTCTTTAAAGATGTAAACTTGCCAAATTCATTTCAATGTGCATTTTCATGATGTAAACATTTATTTTTACTGAAATTAAAGATATGAAAGGTTAAATTTTGCATAGGAGACCACACAATATGCATATGTGAAGACCCTTAAGGAACAGGAGTATTGATTTGCATTAGCTTGAATGAGCAATAAAACCACATCAAGTATACAAAAGTTTGCCAACCTATCAAATCCAGAATGTATCATAAATGACTTGACATGCAGCATATGATCTCTTCCACCTGATATAACAGTCCCTTTCTTTCTGTTTTCAGATATCCCTTTCCTACAGTTGTTATTGAACATTTCTCCAGTTATTAAGTTTCTGTGTGGAAATACACATATCTGGGAAGGATTGGTACAGTTAGCTTGTTGAGTTATGAGTAAGACACAAGTTCCAACACTTTTCTTATGGTATCAGCTTAAAAACCAGTTTCAGCACATGCGTAGGAAGTCTAAAAGCTATCCTGAAAGATTAGAATCCTTCAAAATAATAATAATAATAATAATAATAATAATAATAATAATAATAATAATAATAATAATAATAATAATAATAATAATAATAATAATAATAATAATAATAATATTATATGCAAGTATAATCTCAAGGAATACATCTAATGCCAAATGCAATTAAACAGTTCAAAAGTACTTATCAACAGCTTACCTCCTGATCCAATTGACGCTGGATATCCTTTGCAGGTGAGCTATTGTCATTAACAAAAAAAAGGCTTGTCCTGCCAGAGAAGTCCCATATGTGCAACTACACCAGTGGAAGAAAAAAAATCAGAAACAGCTTCATTTTATGCTGAGAAGAGATAAATTAATATAATAACATCCTTACCAAATCTGCCTCGGTATTGAATATTTTGCAAGCTCGTCTAAAGAGTTCAGCAGCATTGTCCTAATTAAAGCATAAAACAAAGGTATTGTGATTAAGAACACTTTTAATATTGACAAATTATCAAATAGATGAGCTGATTACTTGTGATTGTCACTTCGTATTAAGGAAGCAGAATTACCAATGCCTGATCCTCTGAGAACTATTTTACAACTCTCCCTAGCTTGGAATTAGATCCTACCTTCTACAATCTACAGCTCATAATGTAATAAACAAAACAATCTTAAGAAACAAACATATAATACCTGAATACTAAGCTTTGACTATGATAAAAGGGGAATAATTCAGGTGAACAAATGGAAATTTAGCAATTAAATCCATACAGAATATAATGAAGATGTATTGACCATTCAGGAGACATACAAAATGATTTCTTTTCCTATGTCTTGAGGCATGATCTTCAGGTAAAAAAATTAACAAAAGTTTTCCCATAGGCAAGGATACTAGGCATCACATAGTTACCTAATTCCTCCCCCCCCCCCTCCTCCCCACCTTCAAAAAAAAAAAAAAAAAAAAAAAAAAAAAAACCACACACACACACACACACGAAGCACAAACTGAGAAAGCCAAATTAATACATGAATGAGGTACATATTGGCTTAATTTAAAAAAAAGTAGTGATTTGCATACCCATACCCCATTTTGTCCTGGCAATTAGGTAACACTGGGATAGTGCAATGCAGTGACACTAAAGCATGGTAATTTAAGTGAGCTATTGTAATAGACTAACATTAGGAAGGGCAATTTGGGAAGTCTAATACTTTAAGGTTAGTAGTCCTTGGCCTTAGTATAAATAATTAAATAGAGAATAGTATATGCAGTAGGACATCATGTAAATTGTTAGTAAAAATGTTGAGAGTAGTATCCTCAAGTTATCGGGAGGGTAATAGCCTTAAGCTAACAATCTATCACTTTTGTACCCAAATTTGTGCCATTATTAATCAAAGTCTCGAGCTTTTATCTCTTAATTAGTTTTTAAATCAGAAAAAAAAAAAAAAAAAAGTCAGAAGTTCAGTCCAATACAGCTATGAGCCATACAGTCAAGTGGAGTACATGGCATCAAAAAAATTATGATAAAAACAATAAAGCATCAAAATTAGATACACATAGATTTAAAGCTAGCTAAATCATTACTTCGTTGCCACATACATCAAGAAAAGAAAAAATGTACAAAAAAAAAGTTCATGGAAATCACCTTTTTACTAATTTTAACACCCAAAGAGTTTGCTTCTCGCAAAACAGAGAGCCTGAGTTGTAAAGGATAGACATCTGATATATCAACACTACCAGCTGAAAAACTTCCAACACGCTTCATCGCATTTATAGAATCACTATGCCTACATAGAAAAGATTTAAAAGATTAATACACAATACGTTGAGCAATCACTCAATCAAAACTATTTTAATCTAAAAAAATAAGAATCTAGATTGAGTTCAAATGAAAACCTCATCAAGCATCTAGTCTTGAAATATCAAAAGTGGTGGCTTATAAAGGTTTTGATTGTGTAAGACAATTATCTTCTAACATTATGTCAGCTATCATTCTCTTGAATTTACAGGCCAATTTCAACCCTGGTTGTTTACGGATCACAGAAATTTGTGATCCACTTGCTACTGCAGACAATTGACTTTTTCTCATTCTTAGCATTGATTAATAATTTAATACAACATTTCATACTACCACAAATAAGGTTCAAATTGGCAAATTGCAACCAATTTATATATGAATTAGCAGCATAAACATTGATTAATACGAAACAAAATAGCATTATTGATGATTATTTAATATAAATAGGATATCGCCTATGCCACAAATAAGCATCAAACCATAACATCACATCAAACCACATCTTAACTTGAATTGCAATCCAATTACATAAAATCAACATCATAAACTTACAATACTAATCAGATATGATATCTAATTGTAATTATAACAGAATACTTTGTAATTAAGTTCCGGTTGCAGTCAAATGCATATAAATCAATTCAAGACCATAAAGTTGCAATATAAATCAGATACAATAATATAGCAGATATTCTCACCATTTAAGCGCCTGCAACCACATTTCTCCAGAAACTAAAGCATAATCACGACCAGAAACTCCAACTTCACCATTACTGGAATTATCGTTACTATTTACTTCCTCTCTCCTAAGATTGAACAAAAGATCCGAACCAAAAATGTTGCTGATCAGCTTCATCGGACCAGCATAAGACGATGAAGGCGATGCACTGTATAAAATCCCTGTATCTTCGCATGAATCACTCGCTGATGTCGATGTCGATGCATTTCGAGCTTCTTTCCACCACCTTCAATCACAAACAAAATTCATTTCCCCCAATTTGATTCAAAATCATGAGAAAACCCTAGAAATTGAAGTAATCGAAGAAATTGAAGTCAAAATGCAGCAGAAAAATCACCTGAAAGGCACTAGATAAACTCGTTGTTCGTCGTCGGCGACGGATTGAGTAGCGCCGGCGGAATCTTCCGGCGAAAGAGGTTCCATATCGAAGTAATTTGCAGTGAAAAGAGGAATTTGCAGAAGATGAATCCAGAAATTAGGGGAGATTGAAGAAACAATTGCAGGAATCAAAAGTCAGATGTAAGGGATTTGTTTTTATAGGAGAGAGAAAGAGAGAAGAGAGAAGAGAGAGAGAGAGAGAGAGAGAGTGGGTGTTATTGTAAGAAGGATGAAAGGAAAGGAGGACAGCGACAAGAAAAGGAGGACGTTTTTCCAAAGTGAGCCAATTTTGGCAAATATTAACCAAAATGGTTGCGTGGCAAAAGTATTTATCAAACTAAGCTTCCAGGCTAAAACGCTGTCTCGGTCAGCGTTTTATGCCTGGGTTTTTTTAAAAAAAAAAATCAACCTAAAAACGCTGTCTGGGACAGCGTCTTTGTTGTTGACCTTTTTTTAAAAAATTTTTGTAATTGTCTTTTATTTATAAAAATGTTTTTAAAAAACAAAAACAGTTATACCAAAGACGCTGTTCCAAACAGCGTTTAACTCTGGAACTATAAACGCTGTCTCAGACAGCGTTTAAGGTTATTAATGAAACGCTGTCTGAGACAGCGTTTCTGTCGTTTTTTTTTTCCTGCAACAGCGTATTTCATCCTTTCATTTCCTCCTCCTTCATTCTCAAACCCCTTCTTTCCCAAACTCTAACTTAATCCCCCTCTCTCTCATACTTGTGCTCCTCCGTATAGACCGCCGGCGGCGCCGCCACCTCCACCGTCGCCCTCCGTGTAGCCCACTATACACTCCCCTCACCCTGAAATAGGTATTCATTCAACTTTCTTTGTGTTTTAAATTCTAGGGTTTATGTTGGTGATTTCTAATTTTTTTTGGAATTGGGTTAAAATGTTGATGAGGTTGAGTTGTTAGTGTTAAAAATGTTGAATTGTTAGTGTTGGTATTGTTGAATTATTAGTGTTGGTAATTGTTGAATTGTTAGTGTTGATAATGGTAGTGTTGATATTGTTAGTGTTGATAATAGTTTGGATAATGTTGAATTGTTGTTGTTGGTTTTGTTGAAAATTGTTGACAATGGTTGATAATTATTAGGTTTTGAACAATTGTAATTACCTACATTGTTGTGTAATAATGGTGATTTAGGGGTTCTTAGTAGTTAATTTGTATAGTATGTAAAAAATTTTTGTTTGATTGTTGTGAATTAGGGATGATTTAACGGCTTTACGTAAAATGTGTTTTGGTTGTTATGTAGAATATGGCTGGACAAAATGTAGCGTTGTTATGTCGATGGGGAGGTGAAATTTTGTGTAATGGATCAAATGTGGAGTACAGTGGAGGGAATATGGACCTTATAACACTTGAACCGAACATGACTGTGACTGATCTGATGAATGAGGTTCACAGTTGTATTGGTTCAAACCCTATGACTGTTGAACTGAACCTTAAAATGAGGTGTGATACTGGTCATGGGGTGCAAGTGTTACCTGTCTCTACGAACAGACATTTGAAAGGTTTGAGGAGCATGGTAGGAATGAAGGGTTTTCCCAATGAGATATATGTAGAAACAGTGCCTATATGTACCCAACAAGCATACGGTGAACTGGCAGTTGAGAACGTGTAAGTGCAACAAACCGAAGATATTCCACCTCCCATGTTCTCATGTGCTAGCAGTCTGTGCTACATACTCACTATCAGAACGGCCTTGGGTGGACCCTCTGTTGCAGTCGCCCGCCTACATGAACACCTATGCACCACAGTTCTGGTCGATCCCCTGCGAGACAACCTGGGCACACAGTGGGCACAGTACGTAGGCCCTAAACTCATTCCGGACGACACAATGATACGTGGAAAAGGTCGTCCAAAGTCGAAGCGCATACGCAATGAGATGGATGACAGCAACCGGCCCCCAACCAAATGTAGTCGTTGTCACCAGCAAGGTCACAACCGCACTACTTGTCCATCTAGACCAACATAGGACCTAAGTGTATATGTGTTATTTGATATAGTAGTATGTAGTGGTGTTATTTTGATGAAATAGTTATAATTTTCTACATTATGTGTTATTATGTTCAATTAGATGAATTTTATTTTGTACGTTAGATGTTCGAGATTTCCTGTTTATGCCTTTCAATCGAAATTAGTATTCAATATATTGTGTTAGTGTTTGGTGTGTAACGTTTTCAATGAACAGATATCATGGACGTACAGGATAGGACACCTGGACCTGTTGACCCTTCTGTCCTGACACTACAGGACACCCATCGGAGCGTCGACATATGGAACCTGACGGTATGATTCATCTTTAACATTTTTGGATTCTTTGATGTACTATCTTTTGTTACTTATAAATGCTCCTGTGTTTTCAGGGTGACGTAGCGAAGCCACTACAGTGCTGGCACTACAGGACCCCCTGGGTTGTCCATGATCGCTGCCTTGAGTACGTGACGTACGCTGGCTTTGGCGGTGTACATCGCTTGGGATTCAGGGAGATCGACCGACACCTTGTCACGGCGTTAGTGGAGAGATAGAGGCAGGAGACGCACTCCTTCCACCTACCAGTTGGGGAGGCGACTGTGACATTGCGGGACGTGGCAATACTTACGCGCCTTCCAGTACAGGGGACTGCGGTGACGGGATCATTTCTAGTCGATCCCGTTGGATTGGTTGTGCGGGTTCTCGGGGTGCAGCCGGGTCCCAACGATGTTAGGGGCTCCGCCTTGAGGACGGTCTGGTTACGAGATACTTTCCAGGGCTTGCCTGCGGAGGCCGATGACGCCACAGTACAGAGATACGCTCGAGCGTACTTGTTCTTCCTCATATCCGGCGTGTTGTTCGGCAACAAGAGCGGGAGCCACTTGCAGCTTATTTACCTACAGCTGTTAGACCACGACTGGGAGCATATCCGTGGATACAGCTGGGGTAGTGCCTCTTTGGCGGTGTTGTATCGCCAACTTTGCAGAGCCTCACGGAGTGGTGCGCTCGAGATTGGAGGACCTCTGTTTGTGCTTCAGGTATACTACGTATATTATCACAAGCGAATGATGTAATGAGTAATGTCATATTTAACATAGTTTTGTGTTTTGCTATTGAAGCTATGGGCTTGGGAGCACATCCACGTAGGAAGACCAGGTAGGCCTGCTGTACATCGTCCGGGGCAGCAGGACCAGGATGACCAGTATGAGCCGTACATCGCTCCGCCTCGCCCTGCAGCTGATGAGGCTTACGGTTGCAGGTTTGTAACAATTGTCATTTTTTTCCCATATACGATTTCATTTTGTAAACATACTTACCAAATTTGTTGCCCCAGGTGGATGGTCCCCAGACTCACACAGGCACATGCGGCGACGGGTCTCCCATACTACCGAGACGCTCTTGATCGACTCACTGAGGATCAGGTACAAACTCTGAAGACATTTGTAATCATTTAGATACTGTGTATACTGATTGTGGACTAACTTATTTAGGATGTGTTATTGCAGATCACATGGGATCCGTATGTACTGGAGTTGTAGATGTCATGCCTGCACATCTACTGGAGCATCAGGGAGAGTGGCATGCCCGAGTCCCCCTGATCTGTTTCGAGGTTGTGGAGAGTCACCTACCTGACCGCGTCATGCGACAGTTCGGACTGCAGCAGCCTATTCCCCAGAACTGTGACACTGTCGTGCGCCTTCACGACATTGACCGTCAGGGCAAGACGGAGACAAACTGGGCACTGGAGCATTGGCAGTATCTTCAGCTATGGGAGCAGCGGTTGGGTCATGTCGTTCAGGGTTATCCCATGCAGGGCGTTATGGATCATGACGATCCGTACATGGTGTGGTACAGGCTTATCACACGCCGTTTCATCAACCCCAGCTACACACCACCGTCCACCCATTACCACCCGGCACATGACGTCATTAGCGGATATGTGAGTTTCTTTTACTATACTTATCATCCTCATTTTTTAACTTTTTTAAATATCATGTGCTTGACTGATCGATGATTACTACAGGCGGCGGATATGGTGGCGATGTATGATGCACTGTCCCTCGCCCTTACAGACGGACCCACCAGAGCCCAGGTCCAGCAGATGCGAGATATGTCCGCGACTTCCTTACGCAGACATGGTCACGGTCATCTCATCCAACAGCGGGACGGTGATGATGGTCACTCCATCCATTCGCGGTTCGACCCCGGCCAGAGTAGCAGTGGAGGTGATCCTACGTCGCACACAGAGGCAGAGGAGTACATCTTCCACAGTTCTGCACCCTTCAGAACCCAGGAGGACGCATCGTCCAGCCAACTCACTCCCCCCCCCGCGCCGGAACCCATTCACCACCATTCACCATTACACTCGGCGTCGTCCAAGACGAAGGGACGACAGTGAGGCTAGGGAAGGGTTACACCAAATTGATGAGTAGTGAACGCATTGTATCATTGTTTTGTCCTTTTTCCTGGAATGTTGTATATAACGATTGCATTATCAATATAAGACATGCTGGTTGAATGAATCTGTTTGTGTTTTGAAGTTTTGTTTGCTTATTTATCCAAATCGGATTTATGTCAGTCAAAATAGATCCTTCAGGGCTAATGTACATTAAACAACAGACATTTGGAATCCATAGTCGAAAATGGGGAAGAAAGGATGGCCCGTGGTGGTTAATGTGGTTGTTCATGGTGGTTTTAGTGTTGTTGGTTGTGGTGGGTGGTTATCGACGGTTGTTGAATGGTTGGGGTTGGTGGTGGAGCTGGTTGAAGTGTTGTTGGAGGTCAAAAGTGGTGGTAGATGGTGGTCGATGGTGGGGGTTGTTGGTGGATTGTGGTGGCAAGAATCATGGCAGGGGGTGGTAGGTGGGGGCAGAAGAAAGTGGCAGATCAGTGGCAAAAGGCTGATTCTGCTGCTGTTTTGCACACCAGCAGAGAAACGCTGTCCCAGACATCGTTTTAGGTTAAAAATAAGACGCTGTCTGAGACAGCGTTTTAGGTACAAGGAAGTTTGTACATAAAGCGCTGTCTGGGACAACGTCTTTGGTATAACTGTTTTTGTTTTTTAAAAATATTTTTATAAATAAAAGGCAATTACAAAAATTTTAAAAAAAAGGTCAACAACAAAGACGCTGTCCAAGACAGCGTTTTTAGGTTGATTTTTTTTTTTAAAAAAACCCAGGCATAAAACGCTGACCGAGACAGCATTTTAGCCTGGAAGCTTAGTTTGGTAAATACTTTTGCCACGCAACCATTTTGGTTAATATTTGCCAAAATTGGCTCACTTTGGAAAAACGTTCAAAAAAGGAAGTGTGTCAAAATTGTATTCATGTTTTATCCCATAATTGTAGGTATGTATGTTTTGGTTCTTGTTTTTGATTTTGAGGGATAATAAATTTAAGTGTTTTATCCAATCAAACATCAGTACGATTATTAGCATAACAAAACGATATTTTTTATGATGTAATGTAACGTGATGTCTATTACGACGAAGATGTAAGGTTTTAATGATTTTCGATAGAAAATGGTTATAGATTTGTAATACCAAGTACTACAATTAGTTTGCGTGACTTCAATCTTTGGTCTTTATCAAATTGACACGAGTATCTATACTGAATTGATTGTTATGGACTTGTGGCCAATAGTAAAGTTGTTAAAACGCTACTTCACATATCACTTTTTTTTAGTGGTTCTATGTTTTTTCCTTATCACCCTACACAAATGGGGCATATAAGTATATTAGTACTTTGATGAAGTTAGGGTCCTACGACTCCTAACATTGGTTTAAGGCGGAGCTTCTATCTTTGGTAACAAATAGATTTGCACAAACTTGGTTTTCACGAATTCTCATTCAACAGAAGGGTCTATGTATACAAGTATGTGTCTTTAACAACAAATCACCCTTTATGTCTCCCAAAAGCAATTTGAAACCCAACAGAAAGATCTATATGACTATATATACAACTAATACAAGTATATGTTTTTAATATCACCATTTGTCTCCCAAAAGCAGCTTGAAACTGGTTTCGTAGTACATTAATTGGAAAAAAAATTTCAACATTAGAAGTCAACATATTGTACGTAGTACAACATTTTAGGACTAATGTTAGCTCAAACTACCCTTGGAGAAAGAGTAGTAAGGATCATGGTCAAGGGATATTATTACCCTTACACTTACCATTTGCTCAGCAGGCGAAAACAAATCACGAAACAATGACAAGAACATATATTTTTAAACTTGAATGAAAGGTTTATGAGTGGAAATTTTCCAACCATTGAATAATGTGTTTTTCTTGATAAATTATCAAGATAATCCGTAGATACCATGTCTAAGTTGGACAAGCTTTAGATTGACAGCAGCTTGATACTTTCATAAAATGAACTTTATCGACAATAATAAACAGCTAGCACACAATAGTCATGATTTTCACAGAAGTTTGTTGCTAGTACCATTATTTATTAAAACAAACCATATATGAGAGTCAAAACTCATACATCGTACCATCAGAAATTCATCAGAAAAGCTAGGAATTCACTAAGTGTAATTTTGCAGAAAGCGATCAGCTATCAAAAAGCAGATCCTCCAAAGCCGATTTTGAAACCAAAGCTACCGCAAGTAAGCAATTGATCGCTGCTGTCCCTAATCCTCAACTTGAGAGTATATGAGCCCTAACAGTTCCAAAAGATTGTTAGACAAATGCCAAAGCCAAGCTATGAGAATACATCAGCCATGTATTGTGAACTTACAATATAGGAGTTGTTGAGTTAGACAGGTCAAACAAAAGATTAGACGATTAATTAACATTTACAAGAACTATGACTTACTGGGGGAGTGAATATTGGCAAAGTTTGTTTGTGAGAGAGTACAAAGTCGCCTGCTGGTATAGGACAGGATGTTTCTTGGCACAGATCAATAGTCTCACTGTGCACATGTAACCCAAAGTATGAAACGTCGATCATCACCTCCCCTTCAGAGATAACTCCCGCTGCATGAGTCATAAACTTCAGGTTAAAGCAGTAAATGATCACATTATGACTGTAAACCACACAAGACTTGTTGCATTACAATCATAATTGCATCTCCCCCCTCTTCTCCCCACCCCTTAAAACATAAAATAAAAATAAAGGACTACCCCAGAAAGGAATGATGGCTCCTCCACCTTCGAGCCCACCCTAACAAGTGCCTCCTAGTTTCCATAACCACTGCCTATTAACTTCAACTCGTAATTCATCACAAGTACTACCCTCAGCTTCCACAGGCTCACAGCCATCCCTGTCCACCGTCTTCAACCCCTTTTTAGTTTTGACTACACTTTCTCTTTCTATGACCACTGTCTGGCTTTTTAAGATGACAAATACTTAGTGGTCACATTGGAATTGCTATTGATCATAACTTTTCATCAATGACACAAATTCAATCTTTTATCAGTTTTATGCTGCACGTAGGTTCCTGCATGATTATGATCTCTCTCTGGGTGCCTGGGTGGTGGTCGATACTTTAGCATCTCTGAACATTTTCACTTGATTAAGACATGGCCATGGGTGGTTTTATGTAAAATGATATATACCCATCACTCTTAGGCCATTACTAATAAAATGATCAGAATAGCCGGAGATGGGAGTTGTTGTGGACTTATAGAAGTCAGGTGAGTGGCCTATGTTGCGTTTAGCACTCAGCAAATTAAAGGAGGCTGCGATGGCATTCATGGCAGTGCAATAACAGTGGTGGTGGGCATCAGTTGGGTAGTGGAAGGAAAGGAGGTAGAAGCCTAAGGAGATCCTTCACCGGCACTAGTTTTCTTTCTTTTTTCCTTTTAATAATACCCAAGAAAGGGAATGAAAATTCGGTAAAACAAACATGGACAAAGGCAATCAGGATCTCCAATGCTCTTCCCTGTGTTGTTCCCCTTTACAGAATGGCCTCTGAGTTGAAATTGCTCTAACAACAAAAAAATACTACATCTGAATCAGGGTTGGACCCATTTCCAATTTCAACGCGAGACAATGGATAAATTCTAATCCCTTAGAATTAGTGTTTCCCCCCTTATAGATATCATGCTTTCCTTATCAAAGTCACAATGACGAATTGACGACATTACACCAAATTGTTGAGTTGCTTGAAAAAACTTGATCTGATTTAATCTAGTAGAGATATAAGTATAACTTGTTGTCAATATCAAGGAGATTGGCCTATTTACACAACAACACAAGCCAGCCAGTACTAAGTACTAACTGCATCAGAGAAAAGAAGATCTCATTGTTGGATTTCCGAGCCAAAGGTTGACTTCACTAGAGATCCCATGAAAATGCAGAGTTAAACTAAAAACTTGTGGGCAATTGGTAAATGTACCATCCATCATCCCTTTAAAAGATAGGATTTTCATAAATTATCAACTAAACTGTCATGGCAGCCAAGTTCCGGCTTCTGGGTTGACTACAAGTAAACCAATAATATGGAGTGCACAACTATCATGTCACCATAACAGGCTCACAACATGGCATTGGTGACTTTAATGTCCTAAAAGTTACTTGAGCAATGCAATCACTCCAAAAACATCAATTTAACCAACTAGATTGATAATTCTCTAACAATCAACCAAACATCCACTCCTTCTGAACTAATCACTATCATTCCATTATACTTCCTTCAGGCTTCCACACTAACAAAAACAATATCAAAGCCTTAATCCCAATGATAGGGTCGGCTCCGTGAACCGAGATTTTATCTCCTATAATTGTCAACCATGGTCCTCTAATCCTCTCCCTCCACTCCCTTTCATCAAGTGCTATATGCAATAGTAAACTCAATTTCTCTATATCATCTCAAAAAACTTCTAAGTTCTAACTAAAACATACAATATAACAGCACAATGTTTAATCTGTTTCTGTATCAAACTAAAGTATGATTCTTGCATACAAATTAATTTCACAAAATAAAAAAATTAAAAAAAAAAAAAAAAAAAAAAAGAAGGGAGAGGATTACCAGAAGAGGCAGAAATACTGAAGACGGCTTCCTTGCCAGGCACAACTGGATCAGGGTTAAATTCAACTCCTTTGACTTCCACAGCATAGTTAGCTTTCTTATCTGCATCAAATTAAAGCTTAATTCATTCTTATAAATCAAATTAACAAATACCCAGAAAAGTTTTTATAAAGATTATAGCATAAACCCATAATTAGAGATCAAATTCCAAAATTTCAAAAGAAAAAAAAACACCCAAGTTTATAGGGTTTATTAAGATGAAGTATGAACCCAAAAATAAAGGAAAATTAAGTATGGTAGATCAAAGGAGGAAGTAGATCACCGCATTTTTTAACGGACTTGGCTAAAATAGAAGGAGCAGACAAACAAAGGCAGAGAAAGATGATGATTTGGAGTTTGCAAATCGCCATGAGAAAAAGCTTTAGCAGCAATCTTGGGAGTTCCGTCTCTGAATATTAATGGTGGAAAATCGATGGATTATACCTGCTTGGATTAATTTATTTGCTTATCAAGGTTACTCTACTATTTTGTTTCAATTTCTCTCTCAATTATGACGTGTAGTTTAATTGTATGCCTCAAGAAAAGAATTTGATAAGGGAAACTCCAAGTTTATATCATGGAGAAAAAAAAAGGATTTTGTTTATTGGCATTTTTTGTAAATAAATGAAGAATTTTTATCTTAAAAATATGTTCATAGGATGGATGATAGGATGAAATTGTTGATTTATTCACCAAAATGATATGGGATAAATGATTTTTTGTTTATCACATAAATTAACCTAGGCTTCCTCGAGAAAATATTCATCAAATGATTACTCTATATTAAGTAAATTATTAATTATGTGTGTTGACCACTCCATGTGGCCGCTTGTAAAATACGGAGTAAGTAAATAACAAATTAATCCCTATAGCATTTTGTAAAATATAACCCTTGTAACATTAGTACAAGAAGGCAAGACAATTGGCCATTTGTATTCATAGGGATAAACCTTGTATCCCTAAATTTGTAAGCTACATAATTCTTGGATCCAACTCGGGCACGTTGGTTGATGAAGAATTGACATTACAAGAAGGCATCAAATGATCTCTCCTCCTTGAAATTAAACACAATTGAAAATGATAATCTTGGCATCATCAATTTTAGCAAGCGGCAATGAAATATCCATTTAACTATAATCAACATAAATTATGATGTGGAGAAAGATCATGTCAAGTTTCAAGAACAAGCTAAGCAATCATGTTAAGAAGTAAATAGTTAATTACGACTATAATTACCATTTAATGTTTTATTGGTTTAGCTAATACTCCGTTCGTATAATAATTTGTTCTCCTTTATTTATTATAAAAGGATGAGTTAGGCTGGTATTATCATGAAGACGGATCTAGTTTGTATTTTCTTATTATAAAAATACAATAAAAATGGGATGTGTGTTAGTAGTTGAGTAATAATGATTTTTATACTCCTAGCTAGAATTATTCTATGCCACAATTTTTAGATTTTTTTAATTTCCAATTTGTTCCCTCTGTATAGCTAGGCATGCCAGTATCGAAAACATTACTAATATTACTATGGAAGTCAAGCTCATACATATATAAGCCATCAATACACATCTTCATTCCTCTACCCTCATTTTTTTTTACCATAGCAAAACCCTCAAAAATCCTGTTTGATAATCGAAACTAATGTAGTACTTTAGTTCTATTTCTATATACTTACTCTATGGGTAATTACATACATACAAAATACCACATTATACTAAAATAAAATTATTGCCATTATCATGTTTTAAATATTTAATATAGTGATTATATATATATATATATATATATATATATATATATATATATATATATATATATATATAGGGGAGGGATCATGTGAGAACCCACCCCTTAGGTGAGAACCCTCTTAAAATAAGAACCAATCTTACACCATCAATTTTGAGATTATGGATGGCTGAGATTAATTATCACTTTCCCATGCATTTTCTTGGGAACACGCATTTCAGTCATTAGTACATGTTTTTTACTTTTTTTTCCTTATTTTCTGCATTGAAACACCGATTTATGTACTATAAAACCAAGAAAGAAAATGAAAAAATCTGGTTTCATTTTAATTTAGCCATTGAAGAGAGAGAAATGAAGGCAGATTTCAAATGAAAATTTCTCTCTCATAAAGAAAGCTTTTGAAGCGATTTTTTTTTAATTTGATTATTTTTTTGTGTAGAATAAGCATACAAAATTTCATAATTTTTGGAGTTCGTTTGATATTTTTTTGGGTAGAATTTTCGAAGTAGTGCAAAAAAAGAGCAAATCTGGAAAGACGGATTTCAAATGAAGATTTCTCTCTCATAAAAAACCCTTTTGAAGCGATTCTTTTTTTGAATCTGCTTATTTTTTTTTGTGTAGAATAAGCATACAAAATTTCTGAATTTTTGGAGTTCGTTTGATATTTTTTTGGTAGAATTTTCGAAGTAGTGCAAAAAAAGAGCAAATCTGTATGTGGTACAATAGTTGAAAATTCTGGAACGACATATTTAAAATTCGAAAACTAGGGGCATATCATGTAATTGGAACACTAGTTCTTATATATGGAACAATATATAATATTTATGGGACAATAATTCATATTTCTGGAACAATATAAATTGTATTGACAATAACGGGCATATCATCCAATTGGAACAGTATTAATTACTTATTTTATTGTATTAAAGGAATAATTTTGAGATGTTTCAAAAGATATTATTGTTTCAAAAAGACTTGTCGCTGTTTCAATTAAAAAATGTAATGTTACATTGAATTGTGTTGTCAACGTTAAGTTAAAATGTAGTTGAAGTGTACGTTAATGATGTTTCATAAAATATATTAAGTGTTTCAATTTATAATATTAATGTTTCATATATATTATTGCTTGTTTCATATAGTTGGGCTATATATGAACTAGGTTTACTGTGATTTCTTATACCTTATTGATGTTTAAAAAAAACATACCTTATGTTTCATTTTATACTACTTATGTTCCATAAAATATATGTATTGTTTCATATACTAATGATATTGTTTTATACATAATATAATATTTCATTCGGATATTATTTATATTGTTCCAGAAATATGAACTATTGTCCCATAAAACAATATCATTAGTATATGAAATAATACATATATTTTATGGAACATTAGTAGTATAAAATGAAACATAAGGTATGTTTTTTGAAACATCAATAAGGTATAAGAAATCACAGTAAACCTAGTTCATATAGAGCCCAACTATATGAAACAAGCAATAATATATATGAAACATTAATATTATAAATTGAAACACTTGATATATTTTACGAAACATCATTAACGTACACCAACTACACTTAATGGATGGCTGAGATTAATTATCAATTTCCCATGCATTTTCTTGGGAACACGCATTTCAGTCATTGGTATATGCTTTTTAATTTTCTTGGGAACATGCATTTCAGTCATTGATACATTTCACACATATGGTATGGAACAATGTATAATATTTATGAGACAATAGTTCAAATTTCTGGAACAATATAAATAATATTCGAATAAAATATTATATGAAACATCAATGATTTTTGTGTATAAAACAATATCATTAGTATATGAAACAACACATATATTTTATGGAACATAAGCACTATAAAATGAAACATAAGGTATATTTCTTGAAACATCAGATAAGGTATAAGAAATCACAGTACACCTAGTTCATATAGAGCCCAACTGTATGAAACAAGCAATAATATATATGAAACATTAATATTATAAATTGAAACACTTGATATATTTTACGAAACATCATTAACGACGTACACTTCAACTACATTTTAACGTAACGTGTTTCAATACAATAAATAATAAAAAGCATGTAATAATGACAGCTTTTGGCAGATTTTGTGTCCCAATGCACAAAAATTAAAAAAAAAAAAATACAAACAATCATTACAATTAATGAAGGTGGCCCACGTGAATTCCCACTAATGAAACAATAAATCTGAACCATTCATCTAATAAAAATGAATGGTGTTAGATGAGTTCTCATTTTAAAATGGTTCTCACCTAAGCCATGGGTTCTCACATGATCCCATTTCTATAGGGGAGGGATCATGTGAGAACCCACCCCTTAGGTGAGAACCCTCTTAAAATAAGAACCAATGTTACACCATCAATTTTGAGATTATGGATGGCTGAGATTAATTATCACTTTTCCATGCATTTTCTTGGGAACACGCATTTCAGTCATTAGTACATGTTTTTTACTTTTTTTTTCCTTATTGATAGTGTAAGATTGGTTCTTATTTTAAGAGGGTTCTCACCTAAGGGGTGGGTTCTCACATGATCCCTCCCCTATATATATATATATATATATATATATATATATATATATATATATATATATATATATATATATATATATAATTAACTAGTAATTTTAAAAACGCTCATGAAATTTACCTTAGCATACATATATCATGTTAGTTGATGAAAAGTTAAGTTTTGAACAATAAAGTCACTAATTGCTAGACACATTAAAGAACAAATGAACGATGCTCAATACTTGTGTATAATGTTGTTCCATTTCGTTCGCAAATCGCAATGTATAACCATGAATACAAACATTTCTGAGCTTGATTTTCATCATATTCATAGACAATCAAGAATAATCGTACATATATTGTTCTAATACAGTATATTCGTAATGCAAAACCTTCAATACAAAAATCATATCCCAGAGCTAGATTGCATCACAATCATAAACGATCCAAAATAATTATACATATAGTTATATACATCTACAAAAAAAAAAAAAAAAAAAAAAAAAAAAAAACCACAAAAGATATAAATAAAACATTTAATACAAGTATATTATTAGAGCTACATAAAATACATACTAGATAAATTAAATTAAAAGAAGCTAACAAATAAGTTCATCTTACAAGTGAATCATTGGCATCCACAACATCTACACTAGCAGAACAAAACAACAACTTTCTAAAAATAGATTTAATAGCAGAACATGACACTTCCTTAACATTTCTTACAGATTTCTCCTTCTTTTCTTGTTGTTGTTGTGATGATGCTCTCTTCTTACCACCATTCACTACCCTTTCTTTCACTCTCCCTATACACTTTTTCGTCTTTTCGTTCACGCTCTCTTTTCTTGTGAAGGTGTAACTCCTTAGATATATCTGCCTACATGATATGCTCTCTACCACCTTTGGCCTCGGGTGGCCGGGACCTCGAGAGCTCACCGATCTTACAAACTCGGCATCCGATTCCGGCCACTTGTAGAGGTTTACATAAGTGGCTCTTACTCTTGTTGTAGACACCCTTGCATCATCTATGCAACTTGAGATACAAACTGAGCTCATTCTTAATTTTTCTTTTCCTGTTTTTTTGCTTTCTCTCTATATATCTTTGATGTTAGGGTATGTATGTCATGATATATAATAAGTATGCTTTTTTTTTAATTATAAATAAATGGGAATTGAAGTAAGGCTTAGATTGTAAGTGAAGACATGAAATTGAAAAATACAAGGAAATTATTATTGAGAAGTTATTATGATTGTAGTAACTAGTATTTTCTTGATAAAGTAGCTTGTGAAATAATGATTTGTCATCATGTGTAATCACTGTGTTTTACTCTTGTTTGTGTCATGCACCTAGACCCAATTCTAGGGATTAATATAAATATTTACATTTGTAAAAAGGGATCCAACTTTTTTTTTTTTTTCTTAAATACTCCCTGCATATATTAATGCCTATTAAATTTATTTGGCTGTACAATTATTAATTCTGATAATGATCGATCCATAATGAATTTAAATATAGTCTTGTAAGAAAATACTTGTATTAATCAATGTTAATGCACTGCATCCCAAACAATTTTATTTATTTTATTTTTATTTTCTATTTTACAGAGATGAGAATTTCGTTACGTATACAAAGTATATACATAATAGCTCAATGTAACGATAATCAATTTATCATCATTTATGATCGCCAATTAAACTTATCAGAATCATATCCTTAAAAACCCTTGATTATATGAAAGGTAAGAATAATTTTGAAAAGGGAGTATCACATTAGTTTGCAAAATTTGGTTCGAAATTTGTGTCTTGTAGTAAATTGTACTCCATAGCATGATAAATTTAGCAAAAAGTTGCCAAAAAAATAAAATTATTGGCATTTCAACCAAAATTCTTCCAAAAAATTCAATCATATGTGAACCACTCAAAATACTGTTTAATTTTAAGATGAAAAAATTACAGAGTACTACTATTAAATTGACAGTTACGTAGACATGTAATGCTCCGTACTCAACATAAAACAAATGGATTAAAGATGGAAAAGAGGTGGTGTCTTGGCAGCCATATATGCACTCAATAACTCACGCAATCAATTCTCCAGCTGGGAGCATTATAATGCATAACATGCTTCTGCAGGTTAAACCATGATTATCAACCAACTTTTTAAAGATTGCTATACCTAATTACCTTTTATTAACGCACCACATAGCAAGGTACCTAGTTAGCGTACACATTCTTAGCATGCTCAATTGCTCTAGCTAAACATTGACATACATACACGATGATAAAATTAAGATTGGCTTTGAATTGCCTTTTTAGGTGAAAAGGTCTGTGCATTGTTAGGTTCAAGCACGAAAAGCCAATATAAGATATTTTTAATTTTTTTAAAGTGTTAAAAGAAAATACGTACAAATAAATAATGTAGACGTGATTTAATCTTATCAACTCATGGGTAACAAATGTCAAATATCGAAGGGGATCTATACCAATCCAAAGGATCGAAAGCTCAAAACATCCGCCTTTTTCTCTAACCTACAGGGCTACAGACAAGGGGTATTCTCTTTTGTCACGTTGAATCAAAATCATTGCATTTAAATGCAAAAAGTTAAAGCTATAATTTCCTTAAGCCTGACTTTGAAAAAAGATAAAGTGAAAGACACAAAAGATTGCTAGAAATGAAACAAGAACAACTGTACATTGCTACACCTGAGCTCCCCTGCCAATTAAAATGCCGAAAATTCGAGCTTCTTGCAGTTCTAGAACAAGAAGCAGCAGCAATTTTTGCAAATTTCTTTCTTTCATTCACAACAATCCTCCTCGTATGTTTTAAACATTTTGTGCAAATTTTTAATTCTTACTCGTTCACATTTATAAAACACGGATTTAGTTGTCACATTACGGTGTAAACTACATGAGCTGCGGCTTAGTAATACACTAGAATTAGTTAATTACACACTTTAGTTGCTACACATCGAAGTTGATTTACATAAAGTTTTAAGCTTAGCTTGTATATATATCAATATATGTGTTCGATCAATCTATTTTTCTGATGAACTATTCTTGTCACAGGTCAAGTAAGTTTATTAAAGCGCGTATCATACAAGGAGCTAGATCGTGCAACAGATGGGTTCCGAAGAATTATTACATGTGACTCTCAAAGCATAACATACGAAGCTAAATTTCGAGATGGCTCAGTTTCTGTTGTGAAAGAAGTAAGAAGTGTTGATCAAAGAAATGAGGTTTTCGACAAGGAATTGCATCTTCTAGGCCGGTTACATCATCGACATGTTGTAGCACTTAGAGCATATTCTGTTGGTCGTAAAAGGTCTGATCCCAACTCATGTTCATTTTCGTCATTTTATAATACAAGATTAGTAGTAGTACTCTACACCCTGAAGTATGTTTTTGTAACCATGAATAATATAATGTTGCATATTTCAGTATGTTTTTGTAAGCATGTTTTATAGTATAATGTAGCATATTTGAAGCATTTTATAATTTCAATTCGTCGATACAATACACTGCAGAACGATTGTTGATTATCATTACTAATCTGTAATAAAAATAGAAAAGTGTTGAATATTCGCGCATGTAGTGAAGTATGGTGGTAGGAGACTAGGAGACTGATGTAATTTCTGTGTTATTTTTCAAAATCTGTCATTTCAGTTTTCTAGTTTTCGAGTGCACTGCAAAGGGAAGTTTGAAGGATCACCTGAATGGTAATATCTGTTGAACCTATGCATTTTGAAAGCATTTATCTGTGGAAGATTTCTGATACTTTATCGTAACAGATCCCCTGAAGACTCCTCTGAGCTGGAAGACTAGAGTACAGATAGCCATCGGTGTTGCTGCTGCGCTGGTGGGTAGATCTCAGCGTTATATTTTCAGTACACAAATTAAACTTCTTCAGCTCTTTTTGCATAGTTGCTCATATGAGTCATATCCAATTCCCCTACCTTGCATAGACGAGAACCTTAATTAGTCGAGGCACTAAGATCATGTTAAATTGATAATGATTGTGAATTTGTGACTATTGTGATTGTTTTATTGTAACCAAGGGGGTATTCTCATGTATCACTGCATTTTGCAGGAGTATCTGCAATTCTTCTGCGAGCCACCAGTAAAACACATCTCTATCAGTTCAAGCAATATTATCTTGGATGAGAAGTTGGTTCCGAAGGTGAGAACACTTAAAATTATCGGTTCTGCTCCCAATACTCATTACATTAGGCTTTCTGAAATATCAGTTGTTTCTTTGACACAGCTCTCGAATATTGGTTGTCTTTGCTCAGAAGGTGAGCATCTGCTGCATCTGAAAACAATGTAGAATGTAACTTGATAATAATTTACCAACTTTAACCCGAGTCTTTGACTTGTTCGGTTCTACTGCAGAAAGGGCAGATGTAATTCCTCAATATGGTGCATTACTACTTGAGCTAATTACTGGTGAATCTTCACCTAAGGAGAGTGCTGATGTGATACAGTGGATTCGTGAATTGCGCTCAAACTTATCCATGCATAACATAATTGATCCAGACCTTGGAAACAGTTATAATTACAAAGATCTAAGGGACCTTTTAAGCGTTGCAAGATTGTGTATAAAAGTTGAGAATACACAAGCCTTCACTATTTCACATATATTTTGGTACCTTCAAAAGAGGTTTGGTAATGCTAGTAACTAGAGTACTGTAAGTCTGAAACTTTTGTAGTTGTGTTAATATATGTATATGCTGAAAATGCTGTTTCCGATTCTGCAAGTGTTGAGGTAGTGATTGTTGTTGACGGATGTGTTTGTGTAACAAGATACTCCGTATAAGGTATGGTCGAATGGATGTATGATAGATATCACATTGTTTGTAGCTCATTGATTGTATTGTTTGTAGCTCATTGATTGTGAATTTAAGTGACAGGTTAGTGCCTCATGTACTGTTAGATATGTTACATATTTATGTTGCTTATGTTTAAGTGAAGAGTTTTTTTAACTCCAGGCCACAAGCATTTTCTAGAAGCAGCTTAGGCTATATCATCAGATAGTCGAAAACTTTAAAACTGAAAGATTAGCTTTAATTTCTTTATAGTTTACTAACTGATTGTTACTGGTACATATTCTATAACTACTATGAAGTAACTACAATACACCCAGTGATAAACCCAAAATTTCCACAAATAGGAGAACTATAGATAGCAATAAGGCAAGGACATAAGTTTTCCAAGCGCAAACACTAAACTCAAAGACATTTTAAAGTCATACAACGGTAGCCATTATATCAATAAAATCACTGTTGAGCACACTGAACCCTCTGAGCCCCAGCAGGTTCATCATCTTCATCATATGCCTCCTGATGTGCCTGGGCTTGCTTCCTTTTCATTTCTTCTTCAATGTTGACATTGTGCAATGTTGTCTCTTCACATTCATCCAACTCCATGTCTGTGAGTGCCATTGATGGCTTAGGAGGAAGGATCGCTTCCAATGCTTTAACCTGATCAGGGTTCAAAGAATCAGGGAACTCCACTGTGAAATGGATGTACATCTTGCCCTTCATGAATGGCCTCTGGTAGATTGGCATACCCTCATCATCAATTGCCTTGAATTGATCTGCTCAGAGATACCAACAAAACAAAATGCACATTTAGAACAGAGTAGTGATTTGGGATGATCAAAATTGAAACGATGTCATTCTACTAAATTAAAAATGCTCGGATCTAATAAACTTGAACGTATCCAACAAAATACTAACCAGGCTTAATAACTTCTCCCGGATTTGATTTGATAAGAAGTTGCCTTCCATCAAGGTGGGTCAGCACAAATCTAAAGCCACAAAGAGCTTCAGTCAGGCTCAGAGTATGCTCATAAAAGAGATCTTCACCCTTTCTCTTGAACTTAGGATGCTCTTTCTGCTGCAGGACAAAGACGATATCTCCGGTGACAGTATCAGGCTGCAGATAAATAGAGGAAAGGCGTAAGCTATCAGCCAACAATTTATATAAACAATATCAAACCAACAGCAAAGAGAAGTTGTTACATACAGCTTCATCAGCCTCTCCAGGGAAAGTAATTTTCTGTCCATGTTGCATGCCCTTCTCCACAACAACCTCTAAGACCTTCTTCTCCTGCACAACCTTCTCACCTTTGCACTGAGGGCACCGATCTTTATCATTAATTGTCTCTCCAGTTCCTTTGCATTCATTACAAGGGTGCTGCATCTGCTGGATCATTGAGGGACCCAAATGTCTGATAGACACCTTCATACCGGTACCTTGACATCCGGAACACTTCATGGAAGCTCCAGATTTTGATCCTTTGCTGTTACATGTATAAATAACAATCAAGTTAGGAATGGATCCACAAATTGGAGACGAAGCTCTGAAAACATATCATACATATACTTACCCAGTACACTTCGAACATACTACATTGCGAGAGAGGGAGAGCTTTTTTGTAGTACCAGTAAAGAGATCTTCAAGTGATACCTTCAGAGGATGAACTACATCCTCTCCCCGCCTTTGCCTTCTTCCTCTGCTACTACCACCACCACCTAACCATCAATATGAATGAAATGATCAATAATTGCTACATTATACTGTATAGGATTAGCAACCCAAAAAAAGGAAAACAGGCCTGAGGCATGACTTAAAATCATACCATTTAAGTGATTGCTATAGACTCCTTACCAAATGGACTTCCTCCAAAGAAGGACTGGAAGATGTCGAATGGATCGTGCATGCCGCCACCTCCACCCATTCCTTCCTTAAGGGCATCCTCACCATATTGGTCATAAATCTCACGCTTTTCAGGATCACTGAGGACCTCATATGCATGAGCTAGCTCTTTAAACTACATTGTACAAAAACCATGACTTTAGTTTCCCTAAATAAATTTGGCAATTCAACACTGTAAAGAACCCATCACTACAGCCAGGTCATAAACCCCAGCTTTCAATAACATATTCCTAAGCCTGCAATGTCTAAAACATTCCAAAATACTCCTACCAATCTAGAATCAAAAGTTATATCCTTAATCACGAGGGATTGAGGATGTTACAATTAATTCCCGAAAATTTTAATTTCTAGTATAAAGCAAGAGTACTCCATGATATACTTGAAAACAAATTTCCTATAGCTTCCCTCTAAAACCCTGGTTTGTCAAACAATTATTCCATATCAAAATCTGTTTTCAACGCTATAACGCTATTCATGAACTTCCATTACCCCTTTCCTCTCCACAAAGACCAAAATTCATTGCTTAGACACGACATTCTATAACCAACTCCAAATCACCAGCTATGTTCATCAATTAAATCCTACATGTATTCCAATTACTTCATCCATAACAACAATACACCACTAGATACAATTATGTTAATCTCATATAAAAGTGAACAGCTACAATTAATTCCTTCATCCAAATCATCCCCAACAACAACAACAACAATAAAATAAATTCGACCACAATTCAAAAAAATCATAACATCTAATCCAATTAAAGATCATACTACAGCCGGATCATAAACCCGGGCTTTTAATAACATATTCCTAAGCCTGCAACGTCTAAAACATTCCAAAATACTCCTACCAATCCAGAATCAAAAGTTATATCCTTAATTACGAGGGATTGAGAAATTTATAACTAATTCCCAAAAATTCTAATTTCTAGTTAGCAGTTGACTACTTGAATATCATGAAGCAAGAGTACTTCATAACATAAAATCAAACTTCATTCCTATTAGCTTCCATCTAAAACCCTGTTGTCAAACAGTTATTCCAGCTCAAAATCGGCTTTCGACGTAATTGATCGACCTCCATTACACCATTTCTCTCCATAAAGATCAAAGTTCATTGCTTAAAGGCAACATTAACACACTCCAAATCACCAGCTAGGTTCAATTGTTCATCAATTAAATCCTATATAAAGTCTAATTACTTCATCCATAACAACAATACACAATTATTTCAATCTCATACACAACTGCATATCAACCATTAAATTCCTTTCATACTAATCATAATCAAAACAATCACAACATCTAATCTAATCAATCCTAACATAATGCATCTCTATATAATCATAGTTCATAATTCAAGTTTCACAATTCGAAAACAAAGATCAAATTTCCAAAATTTCATAAAATCAAGTAGCACCCACTAAAATTAAACCAAAACCCACAATTCAAAATCACAAAATTTCACCAATTAAACATCCAAAACTTTAAAAAATTGCACAAACCTTCTCGGGATCACCACCCTTATCAGGATGGTTTTTTATGGCGGCTTTTTTGTAAGCCCTCTTCAAATCTTCAGGAGATGCATCTTTTGGTACACCCAAGATCTCATAATACCTGGTGTTATCACTCTTCTTTGGAGCTCTTCCAAACATCTTTTCTCTCTCCTAAAAGTTGAACTTTCAGAGTTGAAGCACAAACAAGTACGCAATTTTTCTTGAGAATTCTTTGTTATTTTGGAAATTTACTTATATAAGGGGTTTTCTGGCTCAAGATTTTTGGGTTTTTTTTTTTATTTAAATTTTTTATGGACGGTGAAGATTGAAGGGTTAAGAGTAAAGTAAAGTTTTAAAGCCGTTGATGTTGCGATGTATTGGTAATTTTGGAAAGAAAAAATAAAGGAAGGGTCTAGAATTTCTAAATTTATTTTCATTACTTTATTTGTAATTCTAGATGGTTCTGTAGAAGTCTAGGTCTCCCCTTAAATTTGGAAATGTTTAAAAAATAAATAAATACCTTGCTTCCTTGGTTTTTCTTTCCCTTTGCCAACTCACCTTCGTTTATTTTTAATCTCGATTTTTTTTCTTTCTTTCCGAGTTGATTCCACCTCAAATTTGTCAAATCACTCAAATGCAAATGTGATGAAATTGCCTTACAAAAATGATTGTTGCCTAGTCATAATTCTATACTCCAGTTTTTTTGGAATAGGTGAGGATTAATCCCTGCTCCAAGGGAAAATGAAGGGACTAACCATCCCTCCAATCCATGATCCTCATAATAAAATTTACTCAATTGTGCATAATACATAGTAACCACATTGCAACTTTTCAATAATATAATACAATTGCTTAGATTCCCAATATCCTAAATTATTCTTGAAATAATATACAAATGTTCCCGATGTCTTGATGTCTACGATAACTCCACGAAAACTCTATCATCCGGCTAGGTACCTACACAATTAATGCAAGTTAGGTAACTCCGAGGTGAATCCAGGAATAACAAATGGAGAAACAAATGGCTATTTATAGGGAAACTAACTGCCATGTGGCTGCATGCCATGCATCTGGCTTGTTGTCATGTGTTGGTAGCTTTCAGCCACGTAGTCAGTAGTAAGCGAGCACAACATACATCGATATATATATGTAAGCCTTTTTGTCCAATCGGTATCTTGAGGTTGATCTGACCCGAGTTCATATGTTATGATATCGTCATAGTCACATAGATATCATCCCATACAACTGAATATAGAGTACACGGTATGAGCAAACGTAAATGATAAATGTTAGCTAGATTTTTTTTCTAGTGTTATCACCTCCATGACTCCATCCGTAACATGTGATTGTTATGTACTCCATTTCATGAAAGAGTACTTGGTACGAGCAAACAAGTATAAATGTGTGATGTTAGCTAAATTGTAGTATGTGCTTATTTGGTAAATTCTTTGTTTTTGTTTAGCAAGGTAAGTAATTTCCACCTGTACTATCATTCCTTGACACGGTGGTGATGGGTGAAACTTCTTCTTGACTGCTCTACCTCTAAAACTCTACGGCTCTACCGGTATTATTTACTCCGTAGTATTTTAATCTATGTGGGAGACTTGTAAAATAGACTCTTTTTGATTTCTTAAAGATTGTTTTATTTCAATTTTGTTGGTTCTTATGGAGTAAATCACTTCTTAAATTATTTAACATAGTATTCCATAGCTTATATTTTGATACACCTAAAAGTTACTCTTCCTCCTTTTTTAAAAAAAAAAATAATACTCATCCTCGATTATATTACTCTATATTCTATACGCCTTATACTGGTATATTGAAACGAATCCGACAAGTTTCTTCGGATTTTATTACCGCGAGAGTATAAACTATAGAGTGGCTGAGTGGGTTTCGTGTTACATAGAAACCCGTGATTGACTCATTGGTTGCTTGCTTTAGAAAACGACTTGTCATCTTCTTTAACCGAACCCACCACCCCCCACCACCAAACGACGTCGCATTTCCAGGCGCATTTTAGCCTTCACACTTTAGAGTAGAGTATCATTCTCTCTCCTGTTTTTTTTGGCTTTCTGGGTATTTTAATGGAATTGTCAGAAGATACCTCCTTTAAAATCCCAGGTTATAGATAGAATAACAAGGAAGATTGAATGATTAGAGTGATGGGTTTCAAATAGAATTTCCGTACTCTGTTGTTTTGTTTCAATTATACCCTCTTCACATTCTTTGTGAAGTCCACTCCTTTTTTTTACTTCTTCAGCTCCAACTTCAATTTCTGGTGAGTTTTAATTACTAATTTTATTTTTCTGAATTTTGATTTCATTGGTGAATTACTTAGCTTTTTGGGGTTTTATTCTACTCGCGGGATCTGTCGATCTATGTGTTAAATCATAAAATTGATTGATGTATTGGGGTTTTGAGTTATCTTGTTGAATTGGGTTTACTTACTGATTACTCCCTGCTTGATTAGTTTTGTAAATTTTGGGTAAATTTGGAAATTACTTGATTAGGATTGAAAATGGGGATTTGTGGAGATGTCCAACTTAAGGAGAAGTAGATTTAGGGGGTTTTAATAAGTGGGTATTTCAAATTTGCTTAATTTGAACATTCTGTAATGAATTTGTGATGGTTATCTGTGTTCATTTTAGGGTTTTTGATGTTGATTAGAAGCTTAATTTGAATTTTGCATGATTGTTCACTGGTTTCTATTCAATTGACGTCTACAAGAGTTGCATTTTTGCGGCACTAGGATGGGGCTGCTTCTTGCCATTACTATGTGATGTTGTTACACTAAAGCGGTCTCCTTTCGTGTCGCCTCTCATGTTAATTGATTAATAGCAATGTATCACTGATTGTTGTTCTGAATGGGGGTGTATCTTCTAATTTATTTTCTGTTAGAGTATTTGGAATACCAACTGTTGCTACAATTATCACTTGTAAGTAAGAATTGCCTATTTTGATTAGCATTTGAATTAGGAAAGATGTGAATCATTCGACATACTGGTATAGTGCTAGGCATTGTAGTGGTTGCTCAAGCATACACCAACATAAATATCTGGAGGTCCATGATCAGTCTTTCTAGATTATTTGTAGGTGAATTTAACCACCAATTGGATACTGATCTTTGTTTCCATTTTTAGGGCTGAATTCTAATGTATATTGTGGGCTTTTTTAATTGATCACTTGATGCATGTATAGAATATCTTTGATGGACTTCGGAAGCTGTCTAGCATATGATACAATTGATTATTGTTGCTGGGCAAGGGCGCAGGGCCCGTGGGAGTTGGAGGTGGGGAAAGAATTAGAAGATGTCCAACCTCAATGTGCCTTAGGGGGGGGGGATGGATGGGATTGTGAGAACGTGAAATACAATTCTTTCCAAGCACAACTGTGCATATGTATTATGTGCTGAGAAACTTATTAACGTTTGTAGTTTTCTTTTGCAGGTGAAGCAAGGCTAAGTTGTCAGCTTGTGACATGGGTGTACCTGGGAAATGGATCAAGGCGCTGGTTGGATTGAAGAAATCAGAAAAGTCTCCATCCTCAGAGAAAGATGAAAATGTGGGTTTATTTTCTTCAGCTCTTGTTCTCATTTCTGGCCTTAGCCTCTCTATATGGTTGGGAAAAACCTGCATGTATTTAAATCTAAATGCCTTTACCCTGCATATATCTAAATGCCTTCAAACATAATTGTTGAAAACTGAAAATACGAGTATTAACTATCTTTCCTAGCCTTGGGAAGTCAGGAAAAAAGATAGAGTAGATAAGATCTTTGTCCTGTTAAGTGTTAAGTGTCATTGTGCCAATTATCTCTTCTCCTTGCTTGTTTCAAAATAAGTAAGATATATATGAAAAAGGTTGGAGGAGTCTAAAGTTTAGATAGTTTGGAAGAGCTCAGAAATCCTTTCATTTGTGTTATTCAGGCTTTAATAATGTGTTTGTACCATAAAAACTCAGATGTGCAGAATATAGGAACGAGAGTGTGTAAAACTGTAAAAGAAAGGCATCCTCTACCTTTGACAACAAAGATCTGATAGCTGATTTTGTAGTTGCTTAGCTGCTAATTATTTCTCTTCATCTTTTATTTTGATTTCTGTAATCCACTGTATCTATTAGATTGCAGATCATATAGCTAGTCCTAATTTGCTGTGCAATTGTGGCATGTCTATTTATGACATCGAAATTAATTTGACTCTAAAAGCAAGGAACATCATGGTTTTTTGGTTGCATTTTTTGTAATTGATACTCACTTTCAGTTCACTTACTCTAAATTTGGTAATATTGTAAAAATGGTGTGTAAGTTATGATTTATATACTTGCTGTTAGTCACATGCCCACATGAAGGTCTGATTCAGATGCTGTTTATGGAAGCAAATTTCATCATTTTATTTTCACAAGCTTTGGAGTTTCACTTCTCTTATTACCATTATTGTCTAATGCTACACTGATATTGCAGAGAGCAAGAGCTGTTGGTAAATATCGACATCGTAGAAATCATTCTATTGAGATAGATAATCAAACACATCAAGAAGAACAAGGACAAAATAATGACCTATCTGGGAATGCAAATCTCAGGCCGGTTTCTGATACTGCTACCTCCCCCTCTACTTCTGTCCAAATTCCTTGTGAAGTTGAAGAACAGCAGAGAACCAGAGAGGAATGGGCGGCCACATACATACAAACTGCTTTTCGTGGATTTCTGGTACAATATTGTTATGCATGCTTGATGATTCATATGTTTTCATTCTGATTTACCAGAATTCAAATTGATCTCTTTCTAATACAAAGAGAGTGAGGATCCCTTAAAATGATACAGTGTGGTGGGCATTGTCTTGGTATGCTGCATCTGGATACCTGCTCATTTTGGCACCATCTGAAACGCCTTGCATATATCTGAATATTAGTTCTCTTATGATCCTTGCATCATCTCGAGATCAAACTTTTGAAAACTATGACTGTTTGATGCACGCTTCCATATTGGCGGATATGCTCTACTGCTGATCTTGTAATAGCCCTAGGTTGCTGGCAATTTAGTTAAAATTGTTTGATACACATATAGGTGAGCATTTTGGTATCTGAAATTGCATTAATAAGCCTGGCTGTATGCGTATAGGAACTGAAGGCTTAAGGGAAATAAGAATGAGAATAACTTTTCCCCTCTTTGTTGGAATTGATTGTTCAAGGCTCAAAGACCCTTGTTTAGAAACTTAAATATGACAAGTAGTAGGATCTAGTGTGTCGAAGTAAGTTTTGCTTTAGAAAGATGTTCCTGAAGATGTATGCATCTAGATGTGTTCTGTGGTCGTACAATTATTTCTTGAACACGGGTAATTGTCGTTGTAAAAGAGAATCTTTAGTGCCTACCTATTTCAGCTTCCTGGTGTAGCAGTGTTTTAATGCCTCAACAAAGTATCCATGGTTAACTGTGATTCTTGTGTTCTATATCAGGCTAAGAGAGCTCTGAGAGCATTAAAAGGATTGGTAAGGCTGCAAGCACTTGTTAGAGGGCATGCTGTGAGAAAGCAAGCTGCTATAACTCTACGCTGTATGCAAGCTTTAGTGAGAGTTCAAGCTCGGGTACGAGCAAGGCGTGTGCGTTTGGCTTTAGAAAGTCAAACCGAACAGCAGAAAGCTCATCAACAACTTCTACAGGAAGCACGTGTTCGAGAAATAGAGGTGATTACTTGCTCTATCGTCAATGACTATTTTCTCTTTGGTTGCTTTGATTGTACTGTGATCTGAAAACTTAATTCTTCTCCGGGGTACCATCATTACCTTGGATTTATTTCATGCTTTAATAGTACAAGATTTTCAAGCATGATATATGTGGGTAACTAACTATTTCCAACATTAAAATAAAAGGCAAAGTGGGAAATCTCTGTTTATTGAGTCCTGCTTAGTTGGCAAGTCATATAGTGCATTGCGATTTCTCATGTTTAGAATGTCTCGTCTCACTTGCCTATCCTCATACACGGCTAGTTTTATCACCACCCTACAATTATTGCTGCATAAGAATTGAAGAACGCAATGGCTCACAAATTCATTACAAAATTTTAGATATTCATTCCCTGTTTGGAATATTGCTAGTAGATTCTATTTGCCAATGCATACTATGGTGTTTTAAAATCAGTGCTTGGTCTTTGGTAAAGCATGAAGTGTTTTGAAATAATAGGATGTTCGCCGTCAGATCGGGCTGAAGCATGACTATATATATCTTACTGAATGTTTATGTATTCAGGAAGGATGGTGTGACAGTGTTGGTTCTGTAGAACAAATACAGTCTAAGTTGCTTAAGAGGCAGGAGGCTGCTGCTAAGCGTGAGAGAGCAATGGCATATGCCCTAGCTCATCAGGTATAACTCCATTGATAATGTAACTGATTTTCTTAATGATTTTTCCTTATTGGCTTGGTTGTAGAATAATATGAAAATGCCGCCGTCTTTAATTAGCTTGTGAAAATGCTCATCTTGTTATGAACGAGAGTAGACAACATGAAGTATGATAGTTCCAATTTGGTCCTGCAGCCATGTCACCAATGTTTATTTTAATGATACCAAGATTATTAGGCAGAGGGTGTGAACATTGAACACATGAACTTGTATCTCATAATTTGAAAATCTAATGTGCTGTTTATTTCACAGTAATTAATTACCCTATCTCATAATTTGAAAATCTAATGTGCTGCTTATTTCATAGTAATAAATTACCCTTTAATACCAACCTTTTCCAGTTAATTATATTGTGATTCAAAAGATAACAAAAATTCAAGGAAAAAGGTCAATTCAGTTATTTTAGATAGATATAGAAGTTGATTTAAAAATCTGAGAAGGGGTATAGGATGTGGTGTGGGATGGAGTTAGGTGCAGAAACACTGTTCTGCTGGTGTTATTATAGCTGACAGAAAATTTACCCTCAGCATAGAAAAACAATAAAATTTGTTATTTGTTTTTGTGTAAAAGTTACTAATCATGTGGCTTGGTGCTTCATTTTCAGTATCTTATTTAGGTGATTAACCTTTGGGTTTGGATCTGATATAGTGGCAAGCAGGATCAAGACAGCTAGCTGCTGCTGCTTCTGGCTTTGAACCAGACAAGAACAGCTGGGGTTGGAATTGGTTGGAGCGATGGATGGCAGTCCGTCCATGGGAAAACAGATTCCTTGACATCAATCTGAAGGATGGTGTGAAGATACTAGGTAATGAAGATGCTGAAGGTACCAGTGAGACTAAAATACAGCCAAAATCTTCTGGGAAGAAGCCCCTGTCAGCAAATCTCCCTGGAAAAAAATCCGCCACATCGAACTCTGATGAATCTTCGACTAGCAAGTCTGCAAACACCCAAGACGTGTCCAATTCAGTGTCAGCTAAGCTTAAGTCCAAACAAGTTCGTGAAGTCCCCATTGAAGAAGCCAACTCAAGACCTGCTGCTGGCTCACGGTCCCGCAGTAACCCAAAAGAAAGAATGATAGTACAGGATGCAAAGCCCAAAAAACGTTTATCTTTGCCTAATAATGGTACGTTGATGCTTACTTAAACCATGCATCTCTTAATCTCCTTCATATACCGATGTGTACCTAGTCATTCTGATCTTTTCCTAATTGGGAACTAGGGCTCTATAGTGCTGTCAAAAAGGGAAAAAATCGAGTACTAAATATAACATATGATCCTTTCTCAACCACTTGATTTAAGCGGGTTACATATGATTGGTAATCAAACGTATATGCACATAATATCATTTATAGATGGAGTTTACACATTGGTTTCTTTAGTTAAACATTGACGCATGTGTGATACTAAAATACTTGACCAGGAAATCAAGGAGCACAAACAGCCAAGGCAGTAGCTAAAATTTCTGGTAAAAAGAATCCTGGTACACGACAGCCAATCAAGGATAAACCAAAGTCGGATGGAGTTGCTGTAAAATCTGCCCAACAGGCCATCGATGTTTAACCCAACTGCACTTATGTTATACGAAGGCCATCTTGTAAGTTATCAGTTCTCCCATTAGTTGTAAATATAGTGGTAGCATGAAGCATGATAAGAGAGGATGATCTTATCTTACTACTAGTGGAAATCCTTGAGGCTTTGGGTAAGCGTTACAGAGAATATAAGCTCATGCCCTAATATATTGAAATAAACATGGCGAGGACATGCAAGTTTTTTTTTTTTTTCAAGGTGTTGTATTGTGCAATATTTTCTCATTTTTTTTCTGGTGTATTGTAGTTCTAGTTGTAAAATTGTTGTATAATTTAAAGTGTGTAATTTGGGCAAAATTAGTCTTTGAATCTGCCCTTGTGTAAATTTACCCAGTGGTGTTGAGTTTTATGCAGTTTTGCAACTTCATCAATATTTTCCAGCAATTTTGTAATGAGGGTATGATGCCTAAACTGTTCTTTCATAAACACCTGTAAAATGTTCCTCACTTCCTCTCTTCTAAACCAACCTTAAACCTTCAATTCGTAGTCCATCTTTTTCTCATCATAAAATAATGGTCCCCGACAAACAATTTCAAGATTTACCAAAGGATGTTCAATATAACATCCTCAAAAGATTGCCGTTGAAATCTCTCATACAACTTATGTGTACCTCCAAATCCATACATGCCATTCCATCATCACGAACCCAACATTTTTTGAATTAAACCATACTATTGGCACCGGCTATCATATCTACTCTCGTTGCACTTTTTACAACAAACAGACTTTTTTTCTCCTTAAGGACTCGACTGGAGGAGAACCCAACCACATACAAGAAGTTAACTGATGTCCTTGTCGATGGAAGTTATTATCCTATAGGTTATTGTCACGGATGTCCTTTGTCGAGAAGATTTAACCCTAGTTATTTGGAACCCCTTTCTTGGTAAATCATTAAGTATCCCTTTCAATAACTTTAATGTCAATGAACGATCTAGTGTAGGGTTTGGGTATGATGTGTTGCGTTTAGATTATAAGGTTGTTAGAACCAAGATTCTTCCCCATGATCGCAACATGGGTATTTGGGCAGAAATATACGCACTCAATTCCAGTAATTGGAACTTTGGAAGATTGTTCAAGAATCCCTCCCACATTACATATCAAAAATTATGGAGCATGGAATTTTCGTAAACGGTGTTATACATCCTCTACGTAATGAATATGTTATGTTGACATATGAGCCAAGGAAATTTTTTCCGAAACATAGTGCATATAAAAATATAGTCCTTGCCAAACTTGTTATAAATGGAGAGGAGAAGCTTGCCATGTATCATGACGCTCGACTTTGTAAATTGTGGGAGATGGACGAGCACTACTTTAATACTTTTACTTCTATAAACTAGTTTTGTGCCTCGTGTGATGTCCGGGTTGTTTATTGAATTATAAAATAAATTTTTAATCATTATACGATTTGCTAGATTGTGAAGTATATTATTCTAACCGATTAGTATATATTATAAATGTATGTTTTACGCTTTGAACTATTTCCTTTGCCTAAAAAATATTATGATAGAAAAAATAATTTATTAATTTTTAAGAATTATAATCTAATAATTTTTTTAATAAAATTATAATTGAATTTGTACATTTGAAATATTGGTATTTTATCGAAAATAAAACTAATTTTATCCTAAAATTATATCCAAATAGAATTCTAAATTAACTTTTTTTTTATCTTATGAGGTCTATTTAAATCTATCCAATGTGGCGCGACACTTGGCAAAAAGTTGGAACGCCAAGTGTCGTTGTCTCGTCACCTGCCTAAAAGTTTAGCTTTATATATTATATATTATTATTATTATTATATGATATGATGATATGATACGCAACTACTTTTCTTTTTCTACATAAAATTAGCTAATCTAAAAATCATCTCATTTAAACAACTACTGGGAGAAAAAATATGCAACGAAGTGAACAGGGCCTAATATATATATATATATATATTTTTAGGCAACTTCTCTTATTTTTGGGTGAAATTATATCTTTTGAATAGCATATATAACCCCTATTTTCTGAGAATAAAGTTTCCTATTTCGTTGTCATATTCCTAGTATACAATCCTATGACGGTTTGACCACTTCTTTAAACCCTATATTATTCTTCTATTCTTTCTTTCAAAAAATATTATTCTTCTATTTATTATATAATTATAACAATATAACGTTAAGTATTCATTACCTCTTCCCTTCTAAAACCTTAAATATTTGATTCTTCCGCCTTCCCCTTCACCAAAAACTTTAACAATGAACGCAAAGCAATTTTACGATATTCCAGCGGAGATTCAGTTTAAGATTTTAAACTTTAATCGCACCATTAATCCAAACAACGTCATTAAACAATTTCAAGATTTTTCAAAGGATGTTCAGTATAACATCCTCAAAAGATTGCCGGTTAAGTCTCTTATACGGTTTATGTGTACCTCGAAATCCATTTATTCCGTTGTTACCGATCCAACTTTCGTCAATTTAACCAATACTGCTCTCGATATGGGGTATCATATCTATTCTCGTTGTACTTTTTACGATGAACAGACTTTCTTGCTTTATAAAAGATCCCTTCAATGAAGGTAATGTTATCACATATAAGAAGGAGTTCGCCAATGTCCCCGTTGGTGGAAGCCATTACGTTATTGGTTCTTGCCACGGATTAGTTTGTTTTGCTAATATTTTTCATCACCAAGGTTTAACCCTAATTTTTTGGAACCCGTTCTTAGGTAAATCATTAAGCATCCCTATCACTCATCTTACTGCCAACATACGATCTCGTGCATTAGGGTTTGGGTATGATGGGCGGTCTTTAGATTTCAAAGTTGTTAGAATCGGGGTTCTCCCTAACGACAGCAAGCATGTTTGGGCAGAAATCTATGCACTCCATTCACATACTTGGAAGACAGTGCACGGATCAACCTTACGTCCGGTGTCAATAATTATGGAGCAAGGAATATTTACAAACGATAGGTTTTGTAAATTGTGGGTGATGAAAGAGTACGGCGAGAGTGATTCTTGGAAGAAAATATTTGGCATCAATTGTGGAGATGCATATGGGAAGGTATTAACTAGTCTAGCTAACGGCAATATTGTGGTATCAAAGAGTGATGGAACTTCGATATTATATAGTCCAAAAAACAAATCAGTCCGTTCTTATAAAAAAGAGTTCGCGAAGCTCGATTACGTAGGGCATTACGTCGAGAACTTTGTTTTTCTAGGGCAACAACGTCTTGGTGGATCGTGATGATGATCCTTAGTAAGGTAGATGGTGAGCTCTTTGGTGACTAGATGTTATCTACAATTGTACATAGCAGTGTTATTTTTTTTTTTTTGAAACAAATCAATTCATTAATAAAAAGTCATCCGTCATTTACAAATGAAATCTAAATTAACAAATACATGCATAAAATTGATGTGGTACATGTCTCGCACATCGCTGGAATATACAGCCTTTTCGGAGAGACAGTCTATCGATTTGTTGTAGCCTTAAGGATGATTCTCATCTGATTCGCCTGGACGCATTTGAAAGTTTGACAACCGTTGCGATCTCGAACAAATCTTTACCAAAGAACTGACAATAGAGCAAAAGGTGATTACTTTTTTGATGAACCCTAACACACAAACAAACCCTAAACAAAAACAAACAACTAAGGGCTTGTTTGGCATCAGTCTTGGTTTTGAATTTCCTGTTTTTTTAAAACCAAAAATAGGAAACAAGATAAAGGTGTTTCCACTTTTCTGTTGTCAGTTTTCAAAATTATCATAATTTTAATAAGTTTATATAATTTTTGATTCATTATGGGACTCATATCATATACTTTTAGAAAACAAAAAACCAAAGAACAGAAAATACAGCAATGCCAAACGAACCCTAAACTGACGAAAACTAACGACTCCGGAGACACTCCACCATAAGGAGACGGACGAATATCTACACTACTTGTGTAGATTTATTGAAATTTAAATTGAAAAACTAAATAAAATTAAAGGAGACACTACTTGTGTAGATTTATTGAAATTCAAATTGCAAAACTAAACGGCCAAGATTTTGGAGAAACCCTAGAAGACAGGAGGAGAGGAGATGAGAGGTGAGAGCACCTCCCGTTTAAACGGTTTTTCAAGTGATGATTAGATTTGTTTTTTTGTAGGAAAGTTTAAAATTAATGGAATTTAGGGCATGTTATGTTCCGTTGAAATTCAATTCAGTTCAGTTCAGTTCAGTTCAGCTCAGCTCTTAATTTATGTATAATGATATTGCTAATGATATAAAGCCAAATTTCATTCTTTTGAGCTCTTATTACAACGACAACAACAACAACAACAACAATAATAATAATAATAATAATAATAATAATAATAATAATAAATAATAATATTAACAATAATAATAATAATAACAATAATAATTGAAATAATAATACTAATACTAATAATAATAATCAATAAATAATAATAATAATCATCAATAAATAATAATAATAATAATAATAATAATAATAACAATAATAATAATAATAATAATACTAATAATACTAATAATAATAATCAATAAATAATAATAATAATTATCAATGATTAATAATAATAATAATAATAATAATAACAATAATAATAATGATACAATTCATTGTTCAAATAGTTCTATTTTTTTGAAACATATTTCTAATGTTAATCTCATTAAGAAAATTAGAGTACTACATGATTAGGGGATTTTTATCCACCAATCACCGTCTGACAAGTGGACCAACCAGGTTCCGCCACGTGTCTTTCACGTAGGCCAATAGGAGCCTGCCACGTGTCAATTACAGATTCGTCCTCTGCGGACCAATTGAGACACGCCGCGTGTCCACCCATGCCAAATGGGAAAACCGGCCACCAAGGCCCAATCCTGTTTAGAGGCCCGGTCAGCCCTAGGTTTACCCTAAACCTAGAGAGTGGCACGCTTCTCAGGACTATAAATACTCCTCTTAATCCTCATTAAGAGGGGGAGAACTCTAATAACACACGGATTATACATTAAACACTCTCACCTAGAGAGACTAAACCACTTTAATTTCCGTATTAATTACTCCTTAATCAGGTACTAACTTGACCGTTGGAGGCGGAGCTCTCAGGAGTCTCCGTTATTTTGCAGGTACAGGCGGCCGGTTCCAGTCTCGGTGTTGTAACTCTCCCGCAGGACATCAGAAAACCCCGAAACATTTGGCGCCGTCTGTGGGGAGAGTACTTCTGAGATGGCATCCAAGTCTGTACCGACTCCTGAAGAGAGGCGTCCCCTAAACGACCCTCAAGTTCAGTCGGACCATGACACCGAAAGTGAATTTGAAGTGGAAACTCATACAGCTCCAGACGGGACCCTGAGGGCCCGACGTACCCGTCATACCGA